GACTTAAATCGAATTGCCATTCAGGATGACCGGGGTTCGTGGGCAACCGAAGTGTGGCTCGAGGCCAGTTAAACTGATCCCTAGCCTTCTGCCTATCGGTCCAGCCTCCTGGATTGAGAATGGATAATAAGACCATCCTTTTCCGAGATAGTCTCACTTACATTCGGGTTCTTAATACCGGTTTCTTTAATAAGGCGGAAAAGTTGTCTACTGTTGCCGATCGCCGCTGCCTTTTCCATCGCTTTTGCTTTCGCCACACACCACTGTTCACGGTCGTTACGTAGGCTTTTTATCAGTTTGCGCCTAAGCTGACTACGCTCTTCATCATGTTCGGAGTCAGGTGGGATGCGTTTTCGAGCATTCATCAGTTCAGGGGATGCGACTGAAATCCACTGCTTCATCCTAGCCCTATGGTTTGCCTTGCTAGCAGATATCACTGCTGTTTCCACAGCCTTCTTGATATGATTCCAACCTGCCTCCGGATGAGAATCACTTGCATGGCCGCCTAACTGGTTTTCTAGTTCCTCCTGAAATATTTTCTTAGCTTGATTATCATCAAGTAAAGCCCTAAGAGGCTTCCTTACGGTGTCTTTCCTACGCCCAGTAAGCCTCAAATAGATACGAGCTCGCACTAGGGCATGATCTGAATCCAAACTTGTGCCCCAGAACGAGCGGCAGTCCTCTATCGAACCTCTCCATCGGTGGCTGAAGGCAATGTGATTTAGTTGCGTCCAACGTTGAGACGACCTTGGGGGTCGTTGCAACAGACGGTCGCCATTGTCTGTTCTTTGAGCCGCGAGACCATAACATCCACCTAGGTGTCTTTCATTTTCACTTAGTCTACCTAATTGAGTATTGAAGTCACCAGCAATTATTACTATATCAGAGCGCTTAACTTTTTGGAAGAGGTCCGAAAGCTTTCGGTAAAACTCATCTTTTACATCGTCTGGGCTGCAGTCAGTGGGGGCGTAGGCTGGTATGACGAAGAGGCAACGACGAGTGTCCCTATCCTTTCTAATCCTTAGTGTCCCGTTTAGTCGGACGGCGCACAAACGATCCAGTCAAGGAGAGATTGTTCTGCCCTACGACTCAATGCTATACCTACACCAGCGAGACCCCTAAAAGCAGCACCAGGGCTACCGGATACACGAAAGGTAAATCGAGTTGCTACTTTATTTTGACATGGTGAGGTCAAGTGAATGATGCTACTAGGATCCAGCATACGCGTTTCCGAGACGCAGTACACATCGATGGCACGAGATTCTAAAGTCCCCGCCAATGAAGCCTGTTGCCCTATTTGACACAATGTCCGAACATTAAATGCTCCAACATGTAGTCTAGAGGGGAGTTTCGGAACACCCGAAATGACGTTTTATGAACTCGCGTCGTTTGCATTAGCCGTGCACTGTGATAAAGGAATGTGAGAAAAGTTAGTTTTGGAAAGAAGAGAGGCATTAAGGGGTGTAGGAAGGATTTGATTTCTACCAATTAGGTCTCGTGTGCTCTAACGAGTATGAGGGCGGTTGTCACTTCCCCGCTGCCCACACCGTAAAGGAGTGTTTCTTGAGGAACCTGAAAAGGAAGATAGAATAGAGTTGGTCTTAGAGACCCAGGTGCGTGACCGCAGAGTCCAAGGGACAACTGCTTCAGGCCGGTCACGCACGGCCTTTTTATGAGACGTCTTTTGAGTGTTAGCTCCGCTCTTAAAGGCCCTTAGTGGGCACCCTTACCCAAGGAGACGGAAATACGTGAGGTTGGGTGAAGTGTGACATTTTTAGGGTCGATCTTTTCTAACCCTTCCTTCCTTGTGAGAAGGCGGCATCGCTGCAGATGCTGGTTGTCCGAGGGAAACACCTTACTGCTGTCACACCCCTCCACCACAGTCAGCAGTACGACTTCGCCCTCAGACCTTGAGTAGCTGCTTTTAGTCTCATCGTTCTCCGATCGACCTGTCTGGCATGGTAGAACCTTCAGGAACATAAGTTCCAGCCAATATAGCTCGGTTGGGTCATCACGATAGGCAAGCCCAACGACCACGTCAAGGTGGCAGCTTCGGTCGGGAGAACGCTGTTTCCATGCGGTATCTTTTCTACGTCCAGTAGGCTGCAAGCAAATACGCACTCGCACTAGATCATAGTCTATACCCAAACAAGTGCTTCAGAATGAGAAGTAGTCTTCAATGGAACCTAACACCAGTCTTCACCTTAACTAGAAGTGAAGACTGGTATCAGGCCAGGTTGCTTCCTCTCCTCCTTTCTTTCTCCTGGTAATCGACTGGATTATGAAGACGTCTAAATGTGAGGGGAAGCTGGTGATATAGTGGACAGCTCGGATGCAGCAGCACGATCTACACTTCGTAAATGATCTTGCTTTTCTATTACACGCAGAACAGCAAATGCAAGAGAAGTCGACCAGCGTAGCAGCAGCAGTAGGATACAACATACACAAATAGAAAAAGCAGGATTCTCTGGTAAAACACAACATGCATCAGTCATATTACACTTGATGGAGATGCCTTCGAGGATGGAAAATCCCTAACATTTCTTGGCAGCATCATCGATGAGTACGGTGGATCTAATGCATATGTGAAGGAGTGGATCGGCAAAGCAAGGACAGCATTCCTACATTTGAAGAATATCTGCAATTGAAAACAACTGTCAACCTACACCAAGTCACGATTCTCAACACAAATGTGAAGGCGTTTCTACTGTATGTGGCAGAAACTTGGAAAACTACCAAAGCTATCATCCAGAAGATAAAAGTGTTCATTAACAGTTGTCTGCGCACAATACTTTGGATCTGCTAGCCAGACATAATGAGCAACAAATACTGTGGGAGAGAATAAATCAGATTCCTGCGGAGGAACTAATAACAAAGCGCTGGAAGTGGGTAGGACACACGTTGAAGAAATCATCCAAATGCGTAACAAAACAAGCCCCAACTTGGAATCCGCAAAGCCAAAGGAAAGGAGGAAAATCAAACACATTACGCAGAAAAATCGAGACAGATATAAGAATGAACAGTTGGGCAGAACTAGATACAAAGGCCCAGGACTAGGTGGGTTGGAGAATACTGTTCGGTGGTCTATACTTCACTAGAGGTATCAGGCGTAAGTCAGTAAGTTAAAACATTATGTTCATAAATCGGTAATACTAGGCCACTAAGTAAAAATTTGTCAGTTCGTGAAAATAATACAAAGCAGTGGTGAGTTACTCATAAATTGTAAGTAGCTAGAAAAGCCTAATGCAAATATAAGGTCATGTCAATCTTCATGCTGATCCTGAATAGAGCTCAACTAATCTAAATTTTATTACATGTTAGTCATTTTCTAAAGGATGGAATCGATAGCATTTTCTGATTAATATTCTTGTAACGAACTTTTGATACCATCTGATCACTAAGTGTTACCACATGAACAGAAATCTAGTTAAAACTAACCATATCTAATATCTAAATAACCACAATCGAGTCAATTCATTATCTGCATACGCATACACATACGAAGTCATGTCGGTAGATGTCGACTACCTGGTTGGGCTCGCAAGATTATAGCAATCGATGGTTAGAGACCTTGAATGACATGGCTCAAAATCGTTTGCAATGGCGCAAGTGCATCCATTCGTTGAGCTCTCTCAAATCCTAATCTTCTGGATTCGTCATCACCTCTACCTTTGTCTTTCTAACCTTATCTCACTGAATTATACTTCTTGAATAAAATCTTCAAACCCTAGTCTTCTTCACTACCATTAATACCTCTACTATCTTTATCATTATGCGATTTGATTTGACATTTGCGTCTCTGTGCTAATGTGGTATGGCAACATGAACTTATGTGTACATACGTACGAAATTCTACGTTGCATCTGACTGACTGATTGATCTAGAGATTTTGACGGTCGCGGGCGCGCCAGTTCAAAACTCCTTGGTTCAAGTACCACGTGCGGACCTGTTGGCTGATTAGTCTCCTTGATTCTAGGACGAAACAGCTGTCCAATACTTCCAGCCTTCTACTAATGTATGTTCTAACATTGATCAACTCAATTTACACATATTCGTTTCATTGATATAGTTTCAACCATTGCATGTATATAATTCAGTCACGACGGGAGGTCATTATTAATAATATAAATGTCATAAGAAAGTGTGGTACTTGAAAATGGTGCTAATTGTTTCGGTTTTAAAATTCTCATAATTCCTACATATTCCTTGTTGTTGAAGACGATGCTTAATGATTGATCACTAGTATCATAATAGTATGAAATATAATCCATGATGTATGTCTTTCAGGTTATCTAATTTTATTTACGACACGTCCCGACCGAAGCTGCTACCTTGACGTGGTGGTTGGGCTTGCTTATCGTGATGACCCAACCGAGCTATATTGGCTGGAACTTATGTTCCTGCAGATCCTACCATGCCAGGCTGGTCGATTGGAGAACGATGAGACTAAAATCAGCTACTCAAGGTCTGAGGGCGAAGTCGTACTGCTGACTGTGGTGGAGGGGTGTGACAGCAGTAAGGTGTTTCCCTCGGACAACCAACATCTGCAGCGATGCCGCCTTCTCACAAGGAAGGAAAGGTTAGAAAAGATCGACCCTAAAAATGTCACACCTTACCCTACCTCACGGATTTCCGTCTCCTTGGGTAAGTGCGCCAACTAAGGGCTTTCAAGAGCGGAGCTAATACTCAAAAAACTTCTCATAAAAAGGCCGTGCGTGTCCGGCCTCAGGCAGTTGTCCCTTGGACTCTGCGGTCACACACCCAGGTCTCTAAGACCTACTCTATTCTATCTTCCTTTTCAGGTCCCTCAAGAAACAACCTTCCACGGTGTGGGCAGCCGGGAAGTGACAACCGCCCTCATACCCGTAACAGCATTTACGACACGTATGAACCTAGAAATACTTGGGTACTATGATGGTAAAAATTTTTAAAACAAGAATAAGAATTAACTTGTTGTAATGTGCATGAAGCAACCACCATTAAGGAATTTAACAAAATAATTTACAAATTAACTTTTATTACGATTTAAAAATGAAATATGATACTGTGACAAAATTTCATTGTCTACCATAGTAGGTGTCCCACATAAAAGATCTTTTCCATCGGCAGCTTTTGGGAAAGCAATTACATCTCTGATTGATTTAGCATTCAGAAATATTGCTATTAAACGGTCAAGACCTAGAGAAAAGATATATATATAAGGAAGGATATAATGTTTACTTGCCTAATGCAATCCCACCATGCGGTGGAGCTCCAGACTTTAGTGCAGTTAAAAAGTATTCCATTTCACAAGACTTCTCCTTGAATAACAAAGTGATTCTATGCATAAAAACTAATTGTATATACCTTGAGAATTTCGGTAAAAATATACTTTTGCACATCCGGACTGTGTACTCGAATCGAACCACCTCCAATCTCTTGACCATTACAAACTAAATCATAATGCAAACCGATAACCTTGCTTGGATCAGTATACAAGAAGTGCGCTGTGTCCGGTGACGCCGCAGTGAACGGATGATGCGTTGATGTCCACTGACCTAAAATAATAAAATAAATAACCGAATAAAAGATTAATAGGCCGTAAACATGTAGTCTAAAGTGGGGTTTCAAGAGACCAGAAATGACGTTTCGTGAACTTGCATCGCTTGCATTAGCTGTGCACTGTGATAAAGGAATGTGAGAAGAGTTAGTTCTGGAAAGAAGAGAGGTATTAGGGAATGTAGGAAGGATTTGATTTCAACCAATTTGGTCTCGTGTGCTGTTGCGGGTATGAGGGCGGTTATCACTTCTCGGCTGCCCACACCGTGGAGGAGTGTTTCTTGAGGAACCTGAAAAGGAAGATAGAATAGAGTTGGTCTTAGAGACCTGGGTGTGTGACAGCAGAGTCCAAGGGACAACTGCTTCAGGCCGGTCACGCACGGCCTTTTCATGAGAATTTTTATGAGTGTTTGCTCCGCTCTTAAAATCCCTTAGTGGGCACCCTTACCCAAGGAGACGGAAATCCGTGAGGTAGGGTGAGGTGTGACATTTTTAGGGTCGATCTTTTCTAACCTTTCCTTCCTTGTGAGAAGTCAGCATCGATGCAGATGTTGGTTGTCCGAGGGAAACACCTTACTGCTGTCACATCCCTCTGCAGTCAGCAGTACGACTTCGCCCTCAGACCAATGTTCGGAGAACTTGAACGACATGGCCAGACCAAAACATGGCAGAAATCCATGAAGTCACTGACAAATGGATTGAGTTATGATGGTAGGTGTAGACTACTTGTCTGGATTTCGTGAGACAAAAGTCATCGATGTTTAGAGACCTTCAATGACATGGCTCAAAATCGTTTGCAATGGTGCAGGTGCATTCATTCATTGTGTTCTCTCAAATTCTAACCCTCTGAATTCCTCATCACTTTTACCTTTCTATTTCTAAAGTTATCTCACTGAGTTATACTGCTTGAATAATATCGTCGAACCCTAATCTTCTGCATTGCCAATAATACTTCTACTATCTCTACGACTATGCGATTTGAACTGACAATTGAGTCTCTGTGCTAATGTATTGGTATGGCAAGCTGAACTTATGTACTTACTTACCAAGTTCTACGTTGTAACTAACTAACTTAAAATAGGCCATAAACTGTCATATCATGGAGTCAATAACAGACGATAAAAATGATAATACTAATAAATCAAAATGTTAATCGGTGTGTTAAAACAATTCGTGTTCCCAGCAATTATGAACACATGAAATTAAAGTAGAAACCACATACGACCAATTGAAGCCAAGGAAAATATTTGGTACAATTTTTGTAACAATTCTTACCATTAAAGAGAAGAGTAGAAATCAGTCTGTCCAAGTGATAAAATATCACTATTTCTTAATAGCACGTTAAGATATCAGTATTATTTTTATTTAAAAGTTTTTACAGCAAAATATGAAATTTCCAGACAAACAGACAGATACAATGCAGAACTTCGTACATAAGTACATCAGTTCAGGTTGTCATACCACATTAGCACAGAAACGAAACTATCAGTTCAAATCCACGAGTAATAGTGATAGTAGAAGTATTAGCAGTAATAGAGAAGATTAGTGTTCAAAGATATGATTCTAGAAGTATAATTCAGTAAGATAAATTTAGAAGGAGAAAGGTAGAGATTATGAGGAATTCAGAAGCTTAGAATTTCCTAGAACACAAAGAGTGGATGCACCTGCACCATTGCAAACGATTCTGAGCCATTGGTGACTATCGTCTCGTGGACCCCAACCACGTAGTGTATACCTACCAACATGACTCAGTCCACTTGTCGGTGACTTCATGGATTTGTGCCATGTTTTGATTTCGCCGCTTCATCACTTCATCCATTGATTTGCCAACCCTACCTAGTACTCGTTTCCTAACAACAGCATTAAAATTTCCAATCTGACACTTCTAGTGACCTATTTTCAAAATAACAACAGAGTAGTAGTAGTAGTCAATGTGGCGGTATTTTTAAATAATACCGACATTCTACAAACTATGTTCATCATACACAACAACACAACGAATTTGAAGAAAAATAAAAATCTCAAGTTCAAAGGTTGGAATTCATTTTTCACAAAGCTTAAGTGCACTCACCTTGTTCTGAAATACAATACAATAACATTAATTAACATAACAATTAACATAGAATCAATTTATCGTAAATACATATATATTTCTTTCCTTGGCTTATATATAGTATTTCAACTCGTTTTTTAAACTTTTAACAGGGTTTTTTAAAATAACCAAAAAATTTTTTAAAATTTTCACAGCGTTTTTTAAAATTTTTTGTAATCCTTAGAATGTCAGAAATAAATAGAAAAAACAACTTGATTTCGAATGAAAAAATAAAAAGCCTTATAAAAAAAAGTTATTGAAGATGGATACAGCGTCATGGATGCGGCATTTCTTACAGATGTAAACTATCAGGCCGCTACAAATATTATAAGGTTGTACAAATTAAAAGAAGATTCATCTATAAAAACTTTTAGAAATGTATCTTCAATGTTCATAAAATTTTGAGCATAAATTTGGCGTTTGTTTTTACTGGATTCGGAATTTATATTGACCGATGTATAAGAAATCTTTTTCAAAGTAATCTGAAGTCTATAAATTATCTTTCTTATAGATTCAAGAGAAAGGCCTATAGAAAATATGTTTTCTATTTTTTCTCGAATTTCTACCATCGTTATTAACGGGTTTAATTCTATCAATTCTTCAACAAAATTGATAATATCACCGCATATCTTCTTATTTGATGGTTTTCCTGTTTTTTTCTTCTCAACTCGCGATTCCTTTTTATATATACAACCTTATAATATTTGTAGCGGCCTGATAGTTTACATCTGTAAGAAATGCCGCATCCATGACGCTGTATCCATCTTCAATAACTTTTTTTTATAAGGCTTTTTATTTTTTCATTCGAAATCAAGTTGTTTTTTCTATTTATTTCTGACATTCTAAGGATTACAAAAAATTTTAAAAAACGCTGTGAAAATTTTAAAAAATTTTTTGGTTATTTTTTTAAAAACCCTGTAAAAAGTCTGAAAAACGAGTTGAAATACTATATAACACACACATACACACATACCTAATTGATTTTTTTCAAATAACGGAAATTGATTTATCCATAGGAAATGAAATCCAGGTTCATAGATTGACAAACCTTTAATTGGAAAAAAATGAAATTAATGAATTTACGCCTCTGTCTAAAGCCAAAAAAAAGTTAATGACAGAGAGAGAAAATTTCATCATGTAAAATGATACAACAACAACAACACATCTATCTACCGAACAGTCATGTCTATGTGATAGATACATAACGAACTACCAAAAAAAATAGGAAATGATTTCTACAGTTCAACAGATAGTCAATATTGAGAGTTAAGATAATCATCATTATGCAGTTTGATATTCATGAAATGCAAAGAAAAGTATTGTTAGCTAAACTCAAGTGAATGAAACGGTGAAGCAGTAATTGTTGGTCAATCAGTCAGTTAGTCAGTCAGTCAGTTGCAACGTAGAACTACGTACGTATATACATAAGTTCATGTTGCCATACCACATTAGCACAGAGACGCAAATGTCAAATCAAATCGCATAATGATAAAGATAGTAGAGGTATTAATGGTAATGAAAAAGACTAGGGTTTGAAGATATTAGTCAAGAAGTATAATTCACTCAGATAACGTTAGAAAGACAAGGTACAGTTGCTGACGAATCCAGAAGATTAAGATTTGAGAGAGCTCAAAGAATGGATGCACTTGCGCCATTGCAAACGATTTTGAGCCATGTCATTCAAGGTCTCTAACAATTGGTGACTTTCGTCTCGCGGGCCCCAACCAGGTAGAATACATCTACCAACATGACTCAGACCACTTGTCGGTGACTTCATGGATTTCTGTCATGCTTTGGTCTGGCTGCCCCTACCTTTCTTCCAATCTACTCCCACACCACAAAACATAGCACTTCGCGGCAGTCGGTGGTTAGGCATACGCAACACATATCCCAACAACCTCAACTGATGAAGATTCAATAGAAAAATAAGAAGACATATTTTGTTAGATAGTACATTTCCTGCTTTCTCGTCAGTCACATACAAGCAACATGTTATTTATGTAAATACAGTCAAAATTTCTTATTTAGCATGACATTCACTCACTAGAACCATGGTAAACAAAGGTCAACATACAGTTGTTTTTGAACACATAAAGTTGGACTTTTCCGACCAATCAAGATAGCTTCGAGTAGTTTCAGTGTGTGTGGGTTTTGATTACATGTCACAACTCTAAAGGCTGATTTTGGGTCAATTTGATGACCACTCATCATTAGATGTTTTGCAATGGACGAGGCTGGGTTTCTTGATCGATTTTGAAATGATGGGCTAGGTTGATTAATCATGGATTTGATTAACCATTTTGGAATATGTTCCCCTATCCTGTCTTCCAATCGGCGATCTGTCCTCCCTAAGTAACTTTCTCCGCAGTTACATGTGAATTGGTAAATACAGTGGGATTTGGACTGAATCGGTCTTGGAGACTTGATTGGGGTAACTGAGATCGATTGAGTTGTTGTGATAAGCCTCAGATTAGCTGAATTAAAGGGCTTTTTTATTGCAGCTACAGTCTGTTTGGTTGTAATTTTCATGCGATGATCACCCTTGAAAGGTAACTGTAGGTACACTGGTTTCTTGGGCACATCAGTTGCTATCAGCTTCGTCATAGTTGTGTTCTGATGACCAATAAACGTTTCGGGATATCCGTTTGATTTAAGTGTCTCAGTAATAAGCTTGAATTCGTCGTTCAGTGTATCAGCAGTGCAGATTCTACTTGCTCGATCGAATAAAGTTTTGACAACAGAACGTTTATATTGTATGGGGCAGAAACTAGTGAAGTGGAGGTACTGTCCCGACCAGGTGGGTTTGCGGTGTACTTTTCGTCTGATTGATCCGTCTGGACGGCGATGGAGCAGGATATCGAGGAAGGCTAATTCATTATTCTTTTCTTCCTCATAAGTGACTTTCAGATTCGGGTGAATCGCATTAAATAAATCATTGATTTCATTATTGTCTGTAGAATGTGGAAATATGACAAGAATATCGTCGACGTATCGTTTGTAAAGTGTAATACCATCGATGAAGTGACTCACTTGCCTTTCTATCATTCCCATGAATATGTTTGCTAAAACAGGTCCGAGAGGGCTTCCCATTGCCACTCCATCGATTTGTGTATATGCTTTACCTTGGAAATAGAATTTTATATTCTTTGTGCACAGCAAAATTAGATCTCGAAGATAGGTAGTCGGAATGGGTATTCTTATGTTGTGTGAAGTTATGAAGTCACAAATAAATTCCACAGTTTCTTCGAGAGGTACATTTGTGAATAAAGAGTTTACATCGAAAGAACACATCCGACTATTAGAAGTATTTAAGTGTTCCAAAGTTGGGAGAAGTTCAAAGGAATCGAGGATAGTATGTGTCGACAGTTGTTTACAAACAGGATCCAAAATTTCTTTCAGCCACTTTGCTAGCTTATGGTATGGTGAATTTATCATGGAAAGAATTGGTCTCATAGGTGTTGTAGGCTTGTGTAGTTTCGGTAAGCCATACATTTGTGGTGTGCACGTACCAATGGGCTTGAGCATTTTATAATGGGCCTCGGTGATAAAACCATGAAGCATGAGTAGATGAAGTTCTCGGCATATCTGTTTTTCGACCAACTTCACGTTATCGACCTGTGAATCTGATTTAAATTTAGCAGAGTCTGAGAGGATCACGTTCATTTTCGTTATGTAGTCATCCTTATTCATGACTACTACACCGGAACCTTTGTCTGGTTTGGAGATTGTTATTGTGGGATCGTTCTTAAGTTCCTTCAATGCTTCCTCGTGCTCATTCGTTAGACAAGAATTTTGGTTGATAGGAGTGTTTGCAAATTGCTGGGATATATCAACTAATTTGACTTTGAGCCATGCGTCATTCTCAGCTGATGTTGGAGTCAAATTTGAGAACTGGCTGTAGAGGTTTTCGAAATTGGCGTCCACCAAATTCTTATCGATTCTTTTAGGTGGTACATTGTAATTTAGTCCCATTGAAAGAGCTTCTAGGTGAACCTTGTCAAGATTGAAGTTAGATAGGTTGTGAACACGTTCTGTGAGATTTTCTGGAAATTCTGAAATCGTTCGGGTCTTTGATAGCGACTGGTTAAGTTTCGTCCATGTTCGGTTCGCCGTTCTGTCTAATATATCTTTGCAGAAGTTTAGTAGTTTAATATGACAAATGATGGATAATTGTTAAATAAGTGGTATGAAATGTGTGTAAGTTTCTTTGTATTGGTTTATTTTGTCAATGCAAGAGTCAATCTGAATTCGTGTTAACTTCCTCAGACTGGAACTTGTTATTCGCACATTATTTCGTCGAAGCATTTTGTTATAAATCCATGGGAAGTGGTTGTCAATAATGCATTTATTTAGAAATTCCAACAAGTTCGAGTCTGAGGAAGTTAACACGAATTCAGATTGACTCTTGCATTGACAAAATAAACCAATACAAAGAAACTTACACACATTTCATACCACTTATTTAACAATTATCCATCATTTGTCATATTAAACTACTAAACTTCTGCAAAGATATATTAGACAGAACGGCGAACCGAACATGGACGAAACTTAACCAGTCGCTATCAAAGACCCGAACGATTTCAGAATTTCCAGAAAATCTCACAGAACGTGTTCACAACCTATCTAACTTCAATCTTGACAAGGTTCACCTAGAAGCTCTTTCAATGGGTCTAAATTACAATGTACCACCTAAAAGAATCGATAAGAATTTGGTGGACGCCAATTTCGAAAACCTCTACAGCCAGTTCTTAAATTTGACTCCAACATCAGCTGAGAATGACGCATGGCTCAAAGTCAAATTAGTTGATATATCCCAGCAATTTGCAAACACTCCTATCAACCAAAATTCTTGTCTAACGAATGAGCACGAGGAAGCATTGAAGGAACTTAAGAACAATCCCACAATAACAATCTCCAAACCAGACAAAGGTTCCGGTGTAGTAGTCATGAATAAGGATGACTACATAACGAAAATGAACGTGACGCTCTCAGACTCTGCTAAATTTAAATCAGATTCACAGGTCGATAACGTGAAGTTGGTCGAAAAACAGATATGCCGAGAACTTCATCTACTCATGCTTCATGGTTTTATCACCGAGGCCCATTATAAAATGCTCAAGCCCATTGGTACGTGCACACCACAAATGTATGGCTTACCGAAACTACACAAGCCTACAACACCTATGAGACCAATTCTTTCCATGATAAATTCACCATACCATAAGCTAGCAAAGTGGCTGAAAGAAATTTTGGATCCTGTTTGTAAACAACTGTCGACACATACTATCCTCGATTCCTTTGAACTTCTCCCAACTTTGGAACACTTAAATACTTCTAATAGTCGGATGTGTTCTTTCGATGTAAACTCTTTATTCACAAATGTACCTCTCGAAGAAACTGTGGAATTTATTTGTGACTTCATAACTTCACACAACATAAGAATACCCATTCCTACTACCTATCTTCGAGATCTAATTTTGCTGTGCACAAAGAATATAAAATTCTATTTCCAAGGTAAAGCATATACACAAATCGATGGAGTGGCAATGGGAAGCCCTCTCGGATCTGTTTTAGCAAACATATTCATGGGAATGATAGAAAGGCAAGTGAGTCACTTCATCGATGGTATTACACTTTACAAACGATACGTCGACGATATTCTTGTCATATTACCACATTCTACAGACATTAATGAAATCAATGATTTATTTAATGCGATTCACCCGAATCTGAAAGTCACTTATGAGGAAGAAAAGAATAATGAATTAGCCTTCCTCGATATCCTGCTCCATCGCCGTCCAGACGGATCAATCAGGCGAAAAGTACACCGCAAACCCACCTGGTCGGGACAGTACCTCCACTTCACTAGTTTCTGCCCCATACAATATAAACGTTCTGTTGTCAAAACTTTATTCGCTCGAGCAAGTAGAATCTGCACTGCTGATACACTGAACGACGAATTCAAGCTTATTACTGACACACTTAAATCAAACGGATATCCCGAAACGTTTATTGGTCATCAGAACACAACTATGACGAAGCTGATAGCAACTGATGTGCCCAAGAAACCAGTGTACCTACAGTTACCTTTCAAAGGTGATCATTGCATGAAAATTACAACCAAACAGACTGCAGCTGCAATAAAAAAGACCTTCAATGCAGCTAATCTGAGGCTTATCACAACAACCCAATCGATCTCAGTTACCCCAATCAAGTCTCCAAGACCGATTCAGTCCAAATCCCACTGTATTTACCAATTCACATGTAACTGCGGAGAAAGTTACTTAGGGAGGACAGATCGCCGATTGGAAGACAGGATAGGGGAACATATTCCAAAATGGTTAATCAAATCCATGATTAATCAACCTAGCCCATCATTTCAAAATCGATCAAGAAACCCAGCCTCGTCCATTGCAAAACATCTAATGGTGAGTGGTCATCAAATTGACCCAAAATCAGCCTTTAGAGTTGTGACATGTAATCAAAACCCACACACACTGAAACTACTCGAAGCTATCTTGATTGGTCGGAAAAGTCCAACTTTATGTGTTCAAAAACAACTGTATGTTGACCTTTGTTTACCATGGTTCTAGTGAGTGAATGTCATGCTAAATAAGAAATTTTGACCTTATCTTCAAAACTGTACTTACACAAATAACATGTTGCTTGTATGTGACTGACGAGAAAGCACGAAATGGTACTATCTAACAAAATATGTCTTGTAATTCCTCTATTCAAATTTATCAAAGGGAACCACTGTGATGAAGTTTCATTAGTTCATCTATTGATCTGCCATCCTTACCTTGTACTCGTTTCCTAACGACAGCACTGCTTACTCGGTTGTCCCACGGTATACGAGCAATGCTTCTTAAACATCTATGATCGAATACTAGTAACCTACGAACATCTACTCTTAACGGCCATGTTTCGCATCCATATAGGAAAACGGAGTGAACTGATGCACAGTGATAATTATTAGGCTTCTCTGAAAGTTAAGGAACATATTAAAATTTCCTATACATGATCTGATTAAAAAATCAGCTAACACTAACCTAAAACATAGTCACAAATGAGGTGTTTGATTTGTTTTAAAATAAAAGGTGCAATGAATTTCTTCGACTTGTTGAAGGATTTCATTGACAATTCATAAGTATACTTTATTATTTGACTAGTGAAATTATAGAAAACAGGTATGGACAGTTATCATTAGTCCTGTAGAAAAATAACAAAAGGAATTAAGGTATCTTGATAATAAAATGAGAAAGGCTTTGAAAAGAACTTCATACTATGTTAACCTCTAGAACACAGTTAAGCAAATAGATGATATACTTCTTTTACCAACCCCAATCACATTCTCACTCAATGACATTTTAATTGATGTTAAGGAATTGGAGGACAAAATTTACGATAAATGAATTTCCTCCCAAAATAATGATATTATGATTTGCCATTGGACAATCTTGGATAAACATTACAGTCGTAATTAGTTTCTAAAAAAAGCCTGATAACAATTCTCTGGCGAATTTAGTCATTATGAAAGGAATATAGAAAAGTAATCAGAGAAAAAGGTTATTTCAGTCTTATATCATCAAAAATCAAATGCTCTGACCACTCTAAACTACTGATCTATCTCTGTGTGTTGAATAGTATCAATTAGAATTAAGCTCTCCGTCTAGACTGTGAGCTCACTGTGATACGCTATTCATTAATATTATTGTGAAATACTTATTCACTCAATGTCAACGTGAACACTAAAAACGAGGCTTGTTAATTCTTGTTGTACTACAATATAAGCATATAAATTTAAGAAGTACTTTGTTGATTTTGAAAACATACACAATCAACCATCAAAAGAATATTATCATCACTTGTGTAGTTATTATTAAAAAGTTAAGTAATGGAATAATGAGAGAGAAAAATATATCACCTTTTGAATCAATAAGCTTAGCAATTTCAACTCGTGCCGTTCCCAATGCTTTTAACTAATAAGTAAAAGTCATCAATTTGAAAGGTAGCTATTATTATTACCTCAATTTCTGTATTCCCTTTTATGAAGACAATTGAATCACCATATTCAGGCTTTAATAAATTTAATAAGTCAAAGTGTTCTTCTGACTTGGTATTCTGAACTGTAAAAATTGATATCTTCTATAAAATACAAAAAGACGATAGGAAATAAGTTGACTAAATCCAATGAAATATTTTTTCAAAAGTAAAAAGGGTTTAGTTATTACAAATTGAACGGATAAATAATGATGAAAAAGGGACATCAAAATGTATAACTTACTCAAGCCTGTTATTCTCCAGCTAACTCTGTCCTCGGCCTTTCGTTCCTGTTGTACCTAGTCGCTATTCATTCATTCTGTCTGCCTCGAATTCTCGGCAATGTGTTCGTCCGTCTAACTCTTTTTCTTTAGTCTTGAGGGTTCTAAGTGAGGGCTTGCCTCATGATGTCATCGGGTGATTTCCTCAAAATATATGCACCACACAAATCATTGAATTTGTATGTCAGCTAGTTTACCGCTCGAGTTCTCAAAATGAAGCAGGTAGCTTAATTAGAGAGCAACTCTCCGAAAGTTTGAGCTAAAGATCTAATCTATAAGGCTGTGGAGAAACGTCATGTTGTAGTCCCATGGTAGCCAGTCACCAACAAGGGGTTCATACACCAATTAGATACTCAGGATCCGGAAGTTTCTGTGCACATTTGTTTGGAATTAGGGTCTTACAACTCTCCTAAGTCGATTCTTTTTATCGACTAACACAGTTTAAGTGAGAGAATTTGCTTTCGGTCTTCTTAATTTTGTAAATAACACCCAAGCCGTGAGAAGGCAGTGGCTATATACGCGTGGCCATATGAGAGTATTTGCAGAGGGAACTGTCCCTACTCTCGACCCTCCTAGGGCATTTCAGGAACTTAACATAGATTAACTAGTTTCCGAATAACAACGAGCAGAGGTGGGTTATGGCCAGCAGTAAAATCAGGATGAGCGTTCAAACAACTCTGAAGTGCATGTACATCCAGCCTACGAGTTCCCAATAGGACGAAATATGCGTCCTAGATCCTATTGCTAGCCATTATTCACTTTTGCTTACAAGCTATAGTGTTATTAGAGGAATTTGGGTTTTTGATACTTATCAAGATATAACATCAGCTCACGAAATTATTTATCGTTGAACTAAGTTCTGTTACTGGATGGAGACTAACTAGTTGCGGTTGAGCGATAATAATGATCGCCAGTCGGAGATATAAGATGAAGTGGATTAAAATCAGAAAGTGCCTCATATGTATCTTCTAGTTTCCTTTTAAGTCATGAGCCTTAATAGTAACTTGAAATTTTTATTCCTTGAAGTCACCCATTCTTTAAGAAGCATTCTTCCGTGTGCAATCTTCCTCGCTATCATTGGTAATCATATTATTTCAAGAAATGCTATTTTCCTTTAGTTTTATTTTATGCTGCGGATGTGATATGGAACTTGTGCTGACGCACATTCGTGCCTGACAAAATGAATAGTATCCAAAGTTTCTTCAGCATTCCTAAATATATGCGATAAAATGAAGTTTGGTAAAATAGGACACTTAAAAATACAGAAAATGAAAATTCAGTTGACATACTTGGCCAGTTAGACGAATAATCAAACTTTTTAAGAAATCCCAATCTTCAGAACTCAGACTGGACGACTGGAAAGAAAACAATATTAGGATAATTATACACGGTAAACAGACATGAATAATTAAGGGCATGAAGTAAATTTAAGATATTTGAGGTTTTCAAGTTTCCATAAGAAAAGTGAGAGGAAATTAGTACAAGAGGAAAATAGATTGTAAGGAAAACAACAGTTGGAGAAAAGTAATAAAGTTGAATAGGAACAAGAGATTATTGTTATCTTAGACTTTAATCAAGAAATTAACACATATACATGGCTTTCGGCTTATCCTTGACAAACCTTTGCTGAATCGCATGTCGGATACTATGGAGAACGAAGCTTACTAAGATAGTAGACTAATCTCATCGCTCAGAAAATCATTACCTTTTTATTATTAGAAGGAAGTAAAATCACCAACAAATAATTCATCAATGGAACACAATAAACATCAACCCAATTCACCAAAGTTTGTCAACATACGTTAAGATTTATTAGTGATATTATTACTTGGACACGATGATCAGTACATGAAGGGACCTGAATATTTATACGCCACACAAACCAATGAATTTTTGTGCACTGGGACACTGCCCGGGTGCCCAAACCACAGGCACACTAAAACAGACTGAGTATCGGAATGTAACTACCTCAAATGAATTATTCCATTTCAATGCTGTATTGCTATTAGACCGATAAATTTCTAGCTACATTTATCGATATAAAAATGAAACAAAAGTACCGAATGGGTAGTTTTATCTCCACCACAACACAAGCATAACATTTATTAGTCTACTAACTAGATGTCACTTTTTCTGCTTTTGAAAACCCAGAAAATGAGGAACGATAACAAAACACTTACGTATTTCCCTGGTATTTTAAAACCGGTATGTCCATCAACTGTGGAATACGAAAGTAGAAAACCAAAACGTACATCCGGTTTATCACTTCCGTATCGTGACATAGCATCATAATACTCCATACGATGAAAAGGTACCGATATTGGTTGACAACCTGAAATACTCTGAACTGTAGGCCAAATATATAACAGCATATTCTCAATAATTTCATAAATATCATCCGGAGTGATAAACGCCATTTCTATATCCAACTACAAAAGTTAGAGGGAATTAGAAGTAACCTGCGTAAACTCGGGTTGTCTGTCAGACCTAGAAGTCTCGTCACGAAAGCATCTAGCAATTTGCATGTATTTGCTAAATCCACCTATCATCAAAAGTTGTTTGAATTGCTGGGGACTTTGAGGTAAACAATAACACAGACCAGGAAACTGCGTAGGTACGATAAACTCACGGGCACCCTAAGGAAATTAATGATTATTAAAAAAATACTTGCCCCTGGAGTAATTTTGAACAAATATGGAGTCTCAATTTCAATAAATCCTGCAGATGTCAATTATGAAGTACTAACAATACCATTATTTTGACATAAGAAGTTTCGCATTTGTAATACAATAGATGAACGAAACCGCATATTTCTTTGCATATTCTGTGCACGAAGATCAAGGTAACGATATTTTAATCTTTCATTTTCATTGACCTTAAAGTTAACTGAGTAATCATAGGATAACAACTAACAGTCACTGCATCTTTCGGAAGAAAGGAGAGTAAGGATGAATGATTAAGGATTTCAATGCTTTCAGCAACTAATTCAATCTCACCAGTTGACATAAGCTTGAAGTTAAGACAGAACAAATGACACTACCTTGTTCACATCCCTTTCTGGACGTGCCTGAACTTTACCTGTCACTCTAAGGACTGACTCTAAAGTAGTCGGTGGGATTTGGAGAGACTTTCTGTCACAATATATTTGTACTGAACCACAATCATCACGAAGAACAAGAAAACGAGATGACAGTCGACTATGTTCAAGCCATCCACATACAGTGACGGTAGAGTTGATATGTTGTGTACGCAGCTCCCCACAAGCATGAGATCGATATAAATAGGCAGGCGAACTGGAAACTATAAGCATCAGTATATCACTTTATTGAGAAATTATAACTTACCTAAAACTTGAGGAATATAACCACAGAGAGAAGATGACGTCAAGCAAAACTTGTGATAATTTAGGAAAAGTCTTTGAAAACTACGAGACAGCATCTCTACAACCCTTTTACCACATGCACTTTGATTATATGCAACTGAGGTATAAGATCTGAAGTAAAAGGTTTATTTAAAAGTAGTAAGACCTATTATTAAGATTAAACACAGTAAAAATCTGATATACTGACCACCTTCAGTGGACTATCAATAAGTCAAGAAACACTGACTAGTTATAGGACAAGTAAATAACAGTAGCAGATTTGCTTGGGTCTAAATAATCAACCTTCACATAAGGTTAAACTTATGTATTAGGTTTCCGGTTAGTGTTAAGCCAAGATTACCAAATAGTAAGTTTTTTGTCTTCATCTGACAACAGCTATAGGGTGAGAAGTCCAAGGTTACTTAATGGCAATTAATCTGTGGCTGAGTTGCGTTTAGATATTAGGCTCAGGGTTTTCATGACAATCTGACACCAGCAATGTTTCTTCAAACAAGTGCTTTAAAACTCGGTAGTATTTAGGATCTAAAGTAAGAGTTAGGAAGAGAAGACACCTAGCCTCAGTAAACTGGCTTGAAGTCGCATTACATCACAAGGACACTAACAAACTATTTGCCTTTAAGGCAGTGTTTTGCAGTTTGTCATGAACATCATCTTAAACACACTTTTCGGTTAAATAATTGACATTTTTACAAATTTCAAGTATTTAAAGAGCTATGGATTGCCAAATGTTAATTCGACAGAGCGCACGCGCGAAACAGTCCGGCGTCTGACCTGAACGCACACGACCTTGAACGTCTTAATTGGCGGTAGACATTCTCCAAAGCCCAATATCTTTTTCACGAGCTAGTAAACACCAATCGATTTCTTTGCGCTCAAATCTTGTTCCTTCGGTACGGTTCCTGGTGTTTTGTAATGTCCGACGAATGGTGGTCTAGCCACTTGACTGTCTAATTCTAGTCAGTTGGCAGTTTGTTATGAGTTTGTATGCCTCGGGATTTGAATGAAAACGTTTGTTTCTGAATACCAGCAGCGTTCGATATTATTGATAGTAATTCAACTGGTCGGTAGCAAGCTGGTTCGTTCCTAGCTGGTTTCCGTTCATCTGAAAGCTTGTGTAAATCCAGTGAATACATGAGTAGGTCACATTATCGGCGAACTGAGTGCTTTCATAAACTATTCCAATAATACAAGGCAAAGATTCTCATATCTTGGCGACCTTTCTAGGAGCATGATTCCTGGTACTAAGCCAGGAATAAGTCGGATATTCTCTAGTCTATTCGTTGGTAATAGGTCTTGTAAATAAAAGATACACTGTTGATTACCATCAACGTCTGATATCTTCCACATAAGATTATGGGTAATATTTCAGAGACTAGAATGTACAACAGAATAGTTAACGGGAATTATAGCGTTCTATGTATAACTATTTAACAGGCTCCTCAGAAAAATAACCATGAATCTAAAGGTACATGACGGCCATAATAGGTATTTCAAATCGTCCTTAAAAATTTTCACAGCGTTTCTTAAAATGTTTCTTAAAAAATAAAAAGAATACCATTTTTAATCAAAGTCTTCTATAGCAATCGCTTTTAAGCAGCTGCGACGTATATGCTTCGAATAACCTTGTAAATCATTTGTGGTTAATTGATTTACAGAATTTAATGTAAGATTTGTAAATATTTCATTATATCCGCTTGCCAGTGATCTTCTTAAAAGTGATTGAATTTTTGAAAATTCAAATTCAATTGATTTAAGCGTATGACTATAAGTGGACAAAAACATAACATTTACCCCCCTATTCATCAAAACATTTTTGGTAATATTGGAGACATGGATCTTTGCATTATCAAGGATAAAAATGCAATTATTAAAAATTGATTTTTAATTGCAGTTTTCAATCGATTGATCAAAAAAATAAATGAACTTATCGGAGTTCACCGAATCAAAAAATGTTTGGGCATAAAGGACCTCATTTTCGTTACTGCGGATATCAAACCCACATAAGTTCCACTTGTTGGTGGAACCACGACACTTGCTGGTTTTCCTATTGTAAATCTTCCCAAAGTTCTTCTCAAATACAAATTAAAGGATGATTCAGCAATAAAAACTTTAATGAAGGAGTCTTCGATAATCAGAAGATCTTGCGCATATATCTGTCTGTCGTTTAATTTTACTTGATCCTGAGTTGATATTAATCGCTGTTTAAGGATATTTTGAGGATCGTAAAAAATTTTGAAAAAACGCTGCGAACATTTTGAAAACCGAGATGAAATACTATATATGTTCTATACATGCTTCCATTAGTATGTAGCGGAACGCTTCTACGAAGAAAATGCGATTTTTGAAATGTGAACATTATTGTACTCGCTGTGTTTAATTGTACCAAAAACACTTCTTCGACTTCTTGCGCGCAACGTTCTCTTCGCGTTGCCGCCATGTTTCTTCATTTGCTGCTCCCTATGTCATGCCAACGTTCTCCTTTAATAAACCACTGAACTATGGATTTATTTTGTTCTCCTTTTCATCACGCAACCGTATGGAACATTTAGTGGTGGGCATAGTCAAGCTGGTTTCCGGACTCGCTCACTAAAAGTATATCATGAGGGTGATGAAAAAGTAGGGGAAAAAAGGGCAAATAGCAGAACAGAAAATTTCGTGTTTTGACAAAAGCATTTTCGAATAAGCCATTAAGGTATGGGAACATGTGCTTTTTTTTTGATTAAGTCACTTGTTGAAAAATTGCATATCTATAGGTTAGCGAAAACAAGTTACTGGTGAGGTGACCAATAGTAAATGACTGTATGAATTGAGGAGGTTCAAAAGAACCTACAGAATGTAGTCAGGAAAACACATTGATTCGATGCACTTATGATAATTCACTTGCCAGTTTGAAATAAGGGGTCACAGGTGAATTCCTGAATCATCTTATAATAGGACTTCTTGGTAGTAAATTAAATCAGACCGAGGTTACGAACAACATTCAAAAACATAGTAGACATGGAAGATAGACATGGATATCATTAATAAGTCACACCATGTTATATTATAAGGAGCCGTAGACAAACTAAATGTTCCTAGTTAAGTGGATAGCTTATATGGTACTATTGAACTGGAATTCCGATTGCTAATTTTGTTAGTGACGGGTTATAGAGGGGCATATCAAGCGAGTTATTGAAATTAGCTGTAGGGCTTGTTACCCCGTTAGACGGGTAGTAATGTTGCCTGTTTGAGGGTGTGCGGCAGGAGCGATCTTAAATTCAGAAAGTGGTGTGAAATGACTTGAGCTATAGACTTCGTTAGAGGTATGACAAGTGGCTGTATCTCAAAATATCTTGAATAGGTTGACTTTGTATTGCACCGCTGTTTTTAGCATATTTTTAATTGTACGGCTCGAAGCTATAGTTATATTTATTTGGATTGGTGTCAACTTGGGTTTGGTCTGCCATATGTAATTGCCAGTCGTTATAGCCGTTTCCAAAGTCGGAGGTTATTTTTACTGGCTTAACAGGCAAGTTAGTATCCGTAGGCAAACAAAATTTTCTACTCCACAGACATGGGTGGGTTGAGGTCATCGTCCTACCATCAGAATCGCTGGTCAGATACATCACCCTCCCTCCTTCTGTGATTTTAGTCTCTTAAGTTTGTGACATGTTTTAGTAGTGCTTTAGTCTACGCTCTATTTTGCACACCCTGTCAAAATACACTGTCTCTACTAGCTCCATGTTACAGGTAAACCAGACAGCTTAAGCTTATGTACACTGGGTTATGTTTCCATTTAGTATATCACACTGGTAGTAAGACAAATAATCGTATAAAATGTAAGATTCAGGTCAGTTAATAGGTAGTTTGGAGATAGGAAGGATGGAGAGATGGTAAAAGAATAGGAGGGGAAAATTTTCAGAAATGTATGAGTAACATTACAAAGTAAGCCGATGAATAGGAAAACAGGATGTCTGACTGTTAATAAATTATGGATATTCACATTGCTTGTACTGATGGTGAATGAGCTAAAGCAAACTCACAATGATACTGGATAGTTTCAGTTTCTTGTGATCGACGATACTTGTGCAACATCAATAGGCTTTCTAATTATCTCTCCACTAGAGGTAAAATCAAAAGTGGGGTAAAATTTTAAGAAAGAAGATGATGCAACTTTAAATATTTAGGATACTCCGCTTGTCAGGGGTAGGAGCATAAAGGCTACCTAGTATGACTAGTGGGGGAAAGATCATCACGTGTTTAGTATTTGGTAATATTTCCTATTGTGCTCTTCGCCCCGTTCGCTTTATTTCCCTTTTTTCAGCACCTTATTTCAATCGTTATATATTATTCTGCATATTTGCCGAAGACTTGGCTGATTTACCTAGGAGCCTGTGAATTTATCGCCAGATCTTGACTGATTTACCTCATCAATTCTTGTTACGCGCAGACCTGGCAGTACCTTGCATTGTTTCGCAGACATTAAGAAGCTCGTCATAACGCAACCTTTGCAACTCGCGCCAGTCGTTCGCATTGTACACTGTAGAGTCTGAAAAATTATCTACAATTGTATGTGAAAAATGTTAGCCATCTAAATGGAGCCAATCTATCTTGTCAAATATTTTAGTAACTGTAATCCATCTTAAAAGAAATATGTTAGCAATCTTAACATTTTGATCTTGGCTGTAAATTGGCATGCCTCTTGCAATATGTTTGTTATTTGAGAATAAATTATTATTAGTAGTATTAATATTTACGTGAGCGGAAATCTAGTACAATAAATTCATGGTCTGTAAAATGGTGCCCCTCGATTCGGTATTGGATCTGGAAATATTTCATAAGTCTGTGTAGAGTCGAACAAAAGCTTCAATAGTTCCTTTGATCTGGTGGATGTGTCACAGATATTAATAGTAAAAGTAATCACAATCATGATTTACTCTTAAATAACAATAATTTACTCCAGGCATGCCAGTTTACAGGCGAGATCATAACATTAAGGAGGCTAACAAAATTTCCAGTGCGAACTTGTTCAGTTAGATGAATATTTCACGCGATACATCCAATTTTTATATTGGACCGATATTTTTCACACAAAATTACAATTATTGTTTCAGACTCTGGGATGTACATTATAATAGCTAGCGTGAGTTATGGCAGTTTCGTTTGGACGGACGGCCGCTGGTCGGCGATCAATGCAAATTGAATCCAGGGCTGTAAATGACAAGAATTGATTCGGGAAATATGTATTGATCCTCTTGATGGAATTCTCCAGATAATAAACTGTATATCCTCGGGAATTCGAATTATACTGTCTAATGAGCAGGATGAGATGCTGAAGAAGAGTAAATAGGAAAAAGGGGTAAGAAGCAGAACGGAAAATATTCATGTTTGTAGCTAAGTCATAATTCAACAGATACTTTTTTGAATAAAAGAAGGTTGTGGTTGCTCAGAAATATTTTCCATAAACGGTTGCTTGTGACCAGCCTCAAGTAGTTGTTCCTTGGGCTCCGTGGTTGCACTTCCAGGCCGCTTAGACCAGCACTAATACAATACAGAATAATACACCATCCGACGGCGTGGGCACTTGAGAAGTCACATATGTTCTCATACTTGTAACAGCACATGAAAACAAATAAGTCACAACCACATCCTACATCTCTTAATAAGTCTCCTATCTCCGAGATCAGCCCTTATTTCATTGATTTATCACCTCACACCGCTGATGTGAGTGATTTGAGAAAGCAAAAAGTAATTCCTGGTCTCCCGAAATCCTGATCTAAACTACGTGTTGGAGCTTCTAATGTCCAGACGTCGAGCCGCGTAGGAGAACAAGGTTCCTGAGAAAGGAATTAAGAACCTCGTGCCATCGATGGATACTGCGTCCCCGAAACGAGCATGCAAGATCTGACTGTAACCATTAATTTCAAATCAATTTACTCAGATAAAGGACTGTTTTGATTAAGGCTTCTTGTATCCGGATGCACTTATGTTGCTTCCTGTGTCCTTCCTGGAGTAACACGGAATTTACAGCCTAGAGGAGAACTTAAATTCTGCTCAAATGATTCTAACAACATGCGAAAATGGATGGTAGAGTTACTGACCAACAAACAATGATGGTGTGGAAGATCAAATCAATTCACTTATGATTGTGGGGACGAACATTTTGTTTGCTTTTGACTCTTCGATAGATGAGGTGAATAATCAGTGATACTGAGGTTGCTCTTATACACTTGTTACTTCTTAGACTCATGTTTCCAAAATACGCTTGTGTTCGCTATTCTGCCAAGACAACCTGCGACATGCTTACTCAGGCACTTACACCATGACCTAAAGCTTGGCATTTGGTGGAAAAAAGATAGACAGTAAACGATACGAATGTCAATACTTTTTATGTACTTTGTTCTTACTTACCATTGCTTTGCCTGCTCCATCGTAAAGGGCTTGACAATGCTCTGGTTATACACATAAAATTGCTTCATTGATCTCTTTTTTCTTTTCCGTCTCTCTTTTGTCCTTTTTCAAAACCCAATCCGCAGTGTGGCTGCCATGCTGTATATACGCGAAATACGCCTTACGTGCGCATACGTCTAGGTCAGAGATTATATCAAGTGCCTTCCAATTAACACCTCCAATAAATCCGCTCCTGAATTATACAAGCCACTCAAGACCTCAACAGTGTACCTAACCTTTTTGTACTCACTTGTTGAAAATTTGGCTGTGTCAAACTGTTCTTGTTGGTGACTTGGTGTAAATGTGCTATCGAAAGCATAATCTTATTTTTAATCTAATAATTCATCCATGCTAACTGAATCTAGTAATGGTATTTCAGTACTCCTATAAACTATAGAAACATTATAAAAAGGTTCATAGAAATTTGAAAGGATAGTTTCAAAGTGGTTGACTGCCGCGTTTTTGTAAGTAACTGGGGGGAAGATTACTGTTTTATATCCCAGCACTTATCTAAATTTCGATCTTTTCCATTTACCAATATGATATTCCTATTCAGTATCTTATAAATACTTATCTAAGCACTACCTGTTAGCAGAAGTCGAATTCGAAAGACAAAATTCACTACTTCTTTCGGCCATAAGTTGAAATCACTAAAAGACAAACAGAAACACTTACTTAGCTACAAATTGTAAAGAAGTGCTAAGTTTTTGCTGACAATTGAACAAACAAATCCTAAAATACTAGAAAAGCAAGACATTCTGCAAGGAAGTGAACTTCTCAGAACTAATCAGATGTAATATATTCGCTGTCACCTATGCTGCTCAAGGTTATGCCAACGAAAGAGAGGTAGTTTTAACGTAGGAGTTACTTTAAGTTTATACCTGTAGACCATGTCATTTCATTCGTTTCGACGCATGTCACTTCATCATTAACACCCCAGTTATTCATATAAATATGTCAGCTTTTCTTTTTGAAACTGCCCGTCACTTTATTTGAATATTTCTCATGGGTCTTCTCGTAATCAATGTTAGTTTGTCTGGAAACTTGTTCATTGTTATCCACATACTTTGTTCCATATTAACTTCTACTGACTTTCTTTGCCGGCTGTGATGTACTGACTAATTAACATTGTCACATATATCTTGTACTGTGCTCCTGGAAGTAGTTACTACTTCGGGTGCTCATATATCCATCTACTCGTAATTTTTTGACTTCGTCACTGTGAAGTAAGATGTCCAAGCAGACCTAAACAAAGAAATAAAAGTGTACATGGAATAAACGAAGATGCTATTTCTTAGGAGATATGGGGAAGTCTTTTTCTCCTCTCATGAGAAAATTATGTTTGGTCTGTTGTTGAATTGTCGAATTCCGCCTAAATTCACCTCAAGTTGTGTGCCTCCTACCTACGTTTACTCTGTCTACAACGATGTGCTCGTGACGTACATGCATTATATGTTTACCTTTATTTCAATCACAAAACAAACGTTTAAACAGTCGACTTAATTTCAAAACCATACAGGTTTAAAAACATTTATTCACACATGAAATAATAGTTTACAAGCACTCTTGTAACAGATATATGCTCGCCACACAACTTCGTTCTAAGTGAACAGTTCGACCGTCACTTATGGAGATCCTCAAAATAAGTAACTGGTAAATGCATCATGTATAAAGATTATTTCCTGATTGTGAATTGCATGCGAAATAAAACACGCTCTTAATGCACACGCCTGGTGTTTTTCACAACTGCAGATTTAGGTGAGAAATCAAATGCATTGTAAGAGAAAGCTCCAGTTGAATCTCTGATAACTCGTGGAAGTTTTTTGTCGATATAGAGAATAAAAAATCATTAACCTCTTACTGAATCATGTAGTACTCAACTAAGTGTTACTAATTCTTTTGGTTTGTAATTGCACGCTATATCAACCAGTCTATATTTTGAAGTATTTTGTCTGTTTACTGCTCTGTGAAAAGATGCGACTACGGCATCCTTTCAGTTGTGGTAAAATATAGTGGTTGAATAGCCTCTTAGTTGTCGTTGTGAGTTTGGCAGCGCTAATTTCGTGTTGTTCCAAAAACTGGTCTGCATATGGTTCATCAGATCCTGCTGATGTCCCTGTATCTAAAGCGCTTATTGCTTTTAGCGTCGTTCTCATCTACCTCAATAGTGATTAATCTACTGTGTAACACTACTTTTAGTCCCTATAATAGGCTTGAGTGAAGTCATTCCTCAAGTGTTTGGTGAGAGTTTCTATTTTGCCCTAGGCTTCTATCACGTTGCTGCTTTTTAATCTACCGCAGTAGTCTGAGACTGTCACTGTTAATACATATGCGAACGTTTTCTTTACTCTACAATTGTACCTATTTTTAAGTGGACTATTGATGACGCTTGACTTGCATCTTACCATTAGTTGCTTACATCTGTTACCCTTTGTGGGGCATAGGCTGCCGACCAACTCTGTCCTAGTCTCACGTTTCCAGTTGTTCGCTAGTGTCATTCATTCTTTTGATATATTAATCCAATTTTACTCAAAGTTAATGAGAACTGAATTCTGTTCACTCACGTTTCAAATGAAATCCCCATCATAATAAATAATAATAGTATGCTTTATTGCTTTAACTCTCATATATTCTTTACCAGCTTAGATATTTTACCTGAAAAAGGGTGCCCTCATGTGCTTAAATAATATGCTGACACACAGATTACTTATGTAGTTACAAGTCAGTGCGGTCATCGTCGGAAAGCGCGCATTTTATTTTTTCATAACAAAAGTGCAGTTTAATTCTACAATACTAGTGGGAACATGTCCTTGTGGCCACCCTTCGTGACACTCATAACGGCCTGTGATTATCTTGCCTATCTTTGGCATCTTCGGAACCTTATTCTGTCAGTAGTAAGTGCGTCACAGCCACTCACGACGTTTATTTCTTGATCTCGACCCAGGTAGACAAATACTATCCAAACAATTATCCTATTTCAGAAAATCTTGTGTAGTTATCGCTGAATATGGTCAAAAATCTTTTGTGTTATTATGCTCTTTTTCATTAGATTCCTTAGTTTCCGTATTTGAAATTTGGTTGTTCCAAGACTTTTGTTTTGTTTTCAGGCACTGAGATTCTCACCAATATCATGGATTCTAATCTGTGCATGATTGACAACTTTTCCGAGCTTAAGGATCTTCTTGAAAAGTCTCATAGCATTAAGGTTAGTAATATTGAATTCAATTTTATATAAACCTGACTTTACAGGCAGATGTATCTGATGAAATCAAGAAACTACTTACTAAAAGAGATGAACTTGAGCATAAATTAAAGAAGATAAATTCTTTGATGTATGCGAACTGGTTAGCTATAATTTTTTTCTAGACCTGATTTTCATAAGTTACAAATGAGTGCTGAAAATTCTTCTAAACTGGTTGGTTGCGCTTCAGAACTTGCTGTACAGCTCAGTGGAAAAGTTGAACAATTAGATTTGGTGAAAGTAATCTTGTTTGAATTCCTACTATTTTTTTTTAGAATCATGTTCTTAAATGTGTAGATAAACTAAATCATATAATTACTGTAAGGCAAAGTGCACTTGGAGTGAAACGATGTCTTATTGACTCTAAATTAGATGAAGTAACTTTGTTAATCTTCACAGTTATTTTTAGGCTGCTGGTTACGTGTTTACATATCTAGAAATAGAGAAAGATGTAATTTCTCTTATCTCACGTTTGGTAGCGGGTAAGCTTTCTTCACTTTCAAATACCTAGCTGTTCGAATTAGTAGTTTTCTCAATCTCCACTTATTTGCACATATATTTAAAGCATATTTTAAACTGTTTAAAAAGCGGTCGAGAATTATTAGTTTGACTACAATGCTAGTGTTTGCATCAGAAGTAGAGACACTTTTCCACTAATCTGTAACTACATACCTAGCGTGAGGTTTTAGTCATAATGAAGAACCATGCACAGTATGCATCATCCAGCTCCCATACTTTGTGTTAGCACATAAAGGGAAAAGCTTAACAACATGAAAACCGTAGAAGTCAAAATAAATGCAGTATTAATCGTTGTAAGAAGCTACAAGAATCCAAAAATATAAAAATGAATGTATTTATAGCAGTAGCTTTCTTTCATTTTTGACTTTAAAATTTAATATTCCGTTTAGCTGTTTATTTTAGCAGGCCATTTCTCTACCATTGTTGGAGAATATTTAGAAATCGGAATGCTAAATGTTGAGATAGTGTGTATTAGTTAGTAATTAATAGAATCCACAATACAGGCAATATGCAAGCACACCGGAAAGTGAATTAGTTAGCAACGAGGTTAAAACATCTTTACATATCTCCGGAATGTTAATCAATAAGTGGATGATGTTATTGGCGTTTGTTCGAGTCTTTCAATCGTTGACCGAAATCATCTAGAAAAGCTTGGCCAAAAAGTCGATTCCTCTCCTACATGTCTCAAATTAATGCTTTCTAATCGCACATCTATAATTAGTCGCTCTTAACCTTCCTTCATCTTTCTCTTGGACAATTAAGTTTTAAGAATCAGGAGCCCACCATAGCTTCTACCTTTTCGTGGTGGTCGGGCTTGCCTATCGTGATGACCCAACCGAGCTCTATTGGTTGGAACATATGTTCTTGTAGGTCCTACCATGCCAGGGAAGTCGATTGGAGAACGATGAAACGAAAAGCAGCGACTCAAGGTCTGAGGGAGAAGTCGTACTGCTAACCGCAGAGGGATGTCACAGTAGTAAGGTGTTTCCCTAGGACAACCAGCATCTGCAGCGATGGGTTAGAAAAGGTCGACCTTAAAAATGTCAAACCTCACCTTAATTAACGGATTTCCGTCTCCGGAGGTAAGACCTTTCAAAAAGAACGGAGCTAACAATTTACAAACTTCTCGTAAAAAAGCTGTGCGTGACCGGCCCAAGCAGTCGTCCCTTGAACTCTGCAGTCACGCTCCCAGGTCTCCAAGACCAAAGCTAATCTACCTTCCTTTTCTGGTTCCTCAAGAAACACCCTTCCACGGTGTGGGCAGCCGGCAAGTGACAACCGCCCTCGTACCCATAACAGCACGCAAGACTGTATTGGTCATAAAAGAATCCTTACTACACCCCCTAACATCTCTCTTATATCCGTGACTAACTCTTCTCAGAATCCTTTATCACTCCGTATGTTGCTTCAAGATTGGGTTGCATCGGCACCTGAACTAGTGATAGGGAGTGAAGTAGATGAGCGTGTCGACCGCTTCACTTATCTGGGGAGTCTCATCAGCGCCGATAGCCTGGTGACAGACGAAACCTCAGCTCGGATACAGAAGGCTCGATTGGTTTTTGCCAACCTGCGTCACCTATGGCGCAGGCGAGATATCCGTTTGATGACTAAAGGACGAGTTAACTATGCAGCAGTTCGCTCCGTTCTCCTATATGGATGCGAAACATGGCCGTTAAGGGTAGAAGATGTTCATAGGTTACTAGTATTCGATCATAGATGTCTCCGAAGCATTGCTGGTGTATCATGGGACAACCGTATATGCAATGCTGTCGTTAGGAAATGAGTTCTAGGTACGAATGGCAAATCAATAGATGAAGTAGTAAAACTTCATCAGTTTAGGTTGTTGGGACATGTGTTACGTATGGCTAACAACCGACTGCCTCTACGAGCTATGTTTTGTGATGTAGGAATAGGTTGGAAGAAAGCTAGGGGCGGCCAAACCAAAGCATGGCAGAAATCCCTGAAGTCACTGACAAGTGGACTGAGTCATGTTGGTAATTGTCGACTACATGGTTGGGGTCCGCGAGACGATAGTCACCAATGGTTAGAGACCTTGAATGACATGTCTCAGAGTCGTTTGCAATGGCGCGGGTGCATCCGCTCTTTGTGTTCTCTCTAATTCTAACCTTTTGAATTCCTCATCACCTCTATCTTTCTCCTTCTAAATTTATTTTACTTAATTATACTTCTCGAATCATATCTTTGCTCCTTAATCTTCTCCATTACTTGTAACACTTCTATTATTGCTATCACTGTTGGATTTGAACTGACAGTTTTGTTTCTGTGCTAATGTGGTATGACAACCTGAACTGATGTACTTATGTACGAAGTTCTGCGTTGTATCTGTCTGTCTGTGTAGCAGCATAATTGTACAGTTGAACGTATCAATAATATTCACGCTCTCTAATTTTTTTTTATCCCTTATCTTCAAATATTTCCATTTAGATGATCCTGACAGTAATAATCCATTGAAAACATTGAATGATAGTCAACAAATTCTTGTTAAAATGGCTATTGAAAAATTTAATGAATCAATTACAAAACATGATGAAAAAAATATTGTACATTTATTGAAAATATTTTTTTTATTAGGTCAAACAAATGAAGGTATTCAACGATTTGCTACATATTTATGTTCATTTATTACAAATAAATGTGAACTATTTATAACCACTTATAAATCATCATCAAATTCATCATCTGATTTTGTATGGGCTAATTTAATAACAGAAATTTTCGAATTTATTGCGAATACATTAAAAGATAATGCAGTTTATGTTGAAACATATTGTGGTATGTAAAAAAAAGAATTTTTTTATTTTTATATTTCTTAAGCAAAGTGTATAGATTTTTTGCTGAAGTTTATTTTTTTTTTTATTGAACTTTCCAGTGTGAAATACTGGTTGTAGAATAACAAAATGTCTTAGTTCATTCATATTTGTGTACTCTATTACTTACTCACTTACTTACGCCTATTTACCCCCTCCCCCCAAATGGAGCATAGGCCGCTGATCAACCTAATCTGTCTTGGGTATAATTCAGTGAGGTAAATTTAGAAAGAGGAAGATAGCGGTGATGAGGAATTCAGAAGGTTAGAATTAGAGAGAACACAAATAGTGGAAGCACCTGCGCCATTGCAAACGATTTTGAGCCATGTCATTCAAGGTCTCTAACCATTGGTGACTATCGTCTCGCGGACCCCAACCACATAGTCGACATCTACCAATATGACTCAGTCCACTCGTCAGTGATTTCATGGATATGTGTCATGTTTTGGTTTGGCCGCCCCTAGCTTTCGTCCAACCTATTCCTACATCACAAAACAAAGCTCGACGAGGCAGTCGGTGGTTGGGCATACGTAACACATGTCCCAACCATCTCAAATGATGAAGTTTCACTACTTCATCTATTGATCTGCCACTCTTACCTACGATCTGTTTCCGCACAACAGCATTACTTACTCAGTTGTCCCACAATACAATGCTTTGGAGGTACCCATGATCGGAAACCAGTAACCTACGAATATCTTCTACTCTTACCGGCTATGTTTCACAGTGATAAAGTAGGACGGAGCGAACTGCTGAACAGTACACTTTCCCTTTGGTCAGCAAACGGATATCTCGCCTTCGCCATAGGTGACGCAGGTTGACAAAAGCCAATCGAGCTTTCTGTATCCACACTGATATTTCGTCAGTCACCAGGCCATCAGCGCTGATGAGATTCCCACTGGATAAGGTTGCTAACTCCATGCCCGACCTTTCTCCTTTATCCGGGCTTCGGACCGGAAGGGACCGTGGAAGCTTTCCAGGCGGAATTGTCATTGCCATATCAACAATGGCAAAAAAAAACTGAAGTGAGGAATAAGTCTGACTAAAACAAATGAAACTAAAGAATTAGAAAAGCAGGATAAAACTATTACGTAGGCTTGAAGTAAAAGAAGCCTTCAATTTATCAACATTATTGTCACTCGTAGCTTTAATTGTAGATTTATCTTCATGATATTTCAAATGATTTAGGGATCAGCAAAACGTCTTACAAAAAAGTAGTATATTTCAAAAGATCCCAAAAGATCACTAGGATGTTGTTTTATACCACATTGAAAATATCCCATCATCTAAACACTGTCTAAATCGAAAGTATAAATTATCGATTTGAAGAATAAGTATTTTATCGACGGTTTGGGAAGTATTTCAAATCCGTTGTCCAATTAATGATCACAATCTCATAGCAATTCATAATGTCGATGGTTAGAGCCCTAATAACATAATTTATTTCAACCGTAACAGTCTGAAATTCTTAGACTCATTTACTATGTTTGTAAGTGTTTCTTATTGGTTAGCTCGTTTATCATAAAATGTAATAACCTTGTATATGTTACTGTTTTTGTAATGCAGCATAGTCAGTTATTCAGTCAGCTACAACGTAGAACTTCTTACGTACATACATCAGTTCAAGTTATCATACCACATTAGCACACAGACCGAATTATCAATTCAAATCTCATAGTAGTAGAGGTAGTACAATATTAACAGTAATGGAGAATATTTGGGATTGAGGAAATGATCCTAGGAGTGTAATCCAGTGAAATAGACTGAAAAAGAGAAAAAACGGTCATAAGTCATTCGGAAGATGAGAATACACTATGGTAGACAGTTATGTTTCAGTGACACTAGAAAGTTAATTACGTAATCATTTCAAACACGTTAGTTTTCCCGTTAAGTTTCGTCATCTCTCTCTGTTTATATGTAAAACTGCGATAAACTGGTATATTTGCATCCTGAGCCAATACTAGGATGTTGCCCTTCTAAATAATAGTTCTTATTATACTTCGCTTGCAGTCCTGAATTTCGCCAGCCGGGAAATGCAAACCTTAACTCGTTGGACGAGTGACTGACCATTTGGAATCAGTAGCTTAGAGGATAATTTATTGACGTTTAAAGTGATAGGTCCTGAGTTTGGGGTTTCAGTGTGAACATCACCACTCTAACTCGAGTACATCCATCTGGCGAGTCCTAAACAGGAAACAATGCGTATCCTTTTTCCTGTTTTTAATCTCAGTCCAAATGTACTGATCATAACTTCTTATTTGTTCTAATCGTTTTATAGCATTGATAATCCTACGGCTTTAAGAAGTGTTATAACTATGTGTGTGTGTGTGTTCAGTTTCCAACCAGGGGTTACTTAATACGGTTTGTTAATTTTTTAAAAAAATTTTTTTCATTAGGTCCAGGCAAAATATTTGGGCTTGTATCTTCTGTTCAATGTGTTGTTGACCAGTATATCAAGTCTGTGGTCCAACGATTTTATGCCTATCATCATCTCGATGAACTGTGTTCACTGATCAAGAAATTGAATAGTTATAGTTTAAACTCTAAAAAGCATGAATTATCAACTCAATCAAGCAATAAAGATAAAATATTGGATTCAAACGAATTAGGATCGGATCGTGTATTGGTCATTGAACCAATCATTGTTGAAACACTACAGATTATTACTTGTTCAGAACTTTATTTGAGATTTATACGGAGGCGAATTTCTGTAGGTTATATGCTTTTATACTATGTAGCACTGGAATATAATCTTAACATTATGAAAATAAATTTTGAAAGTCACTTTTTCGATGTTGTTTACTTAAAAAATTGTTTTAAATCATGCTTATGTTCTGTTAAAAAAAATAGTGGATAGCTCATTCAAAGTTTGATTCTTTAAAATATTGTTAGTTGTTCATATGTAATGTATATAAAATGTAGCGGGACTTGAAAAGGAAGTTGGGTAAGTTGATCTTTGCGACTTGGGAGCAGAGCCCTAGAGACAGCTTCTTCAGGCCGTTCGTTCACTGCTCCACTCGTTACATAGCCTTACCGCTGTAGAGAGAAATCCATGGAGTAAGATGAGATGTGACATTTTTAGGGTTGACATTTTCTAACCCCTTCCTTCAGTTATGAGAAAGTAGCATCGCTGCAGATGCTGGTTGTCCGGAAGTAACACTTTAATGTCGTCACACTTCGCTTTAGTCAACAGTACGATTTCACCTTAAGATATTAAATTGTTCTCCAATCGACCTGCTTGGCATGGAACATATTTTTCAGCCAATATAGTTCGATTGGATCATTACGATAGTTAAGATTGACCACCGTGTCAAGGTAACATCTACGTTCAGGTTGTTTTTGTTGTTGCGGATTGACTGAATGATATAAAATGTAGACGAATAGAAATCATATTGTGTGTTTATTTCTTCAGATTTTAATCGAAATGTAGTAAATATTTATCTGCTGTATCTTCTACAATTACTTACTTACTTACTTACGCCTGTTACTCCCAATGGAGCATAGGCCGCCCACCAGTTTTCTCCAACCAACTCTGTCCTGGGCTTCCCTTTCCGTTTTTGTCCAATTTTTGTTCATTCTTCTCATATTTTTCTTTATTTCTCGGGGTAATGTGTACCTTGGCGTTCCTCTTTTCGTTTTGCCTTGAGGGTTCCATGTGAGGGCTTGTCTTGTGACGCAGTTGGGTGCTTTTAGTAATGTGTGTTATATCCACTTCCACCGCTTCTTTCTGATTTCCTCCTCCACTCGAATCTGGTTTGTTCTCTCCCACAGTACGTTGTTGCTGATCGTGTCTGGCCAACGAATCCGAAGTATTTTGCGTAGACAACTGTTAATAAACACTTGTATCTTCTGAATGATGGCTTTGGTAGTTCTCCATGTTTCCGCTCCATACAGTAGAACTGTCTTCACATTTGTATTGAAAATCCTGATTTTGGTTTTGTTTGAAAGTTGTTTGGAGTTCCAGATATTTTTCAACTGTAGAGATGCAGCCCTTGCTTTGCCGATCCGCGCCCTCACATCTGCATCGGATCCACCTTGGTTGTCGATGATGCTGCCCAGATATGTAAAGGTGTTAACATCCTCCAAGGCATCTCCATCAAGAGTGATTTGGTTTGTGCATCTTGTGTTGCATCGGAGAATTTTACTTTTCCCTTTATGTATTTTGAGACCTACTGCTGCAGAGGCTGCTGCTACACTGGTCGTCTTCTCTTGCATTTGTTTTCGCATGTGCGATAGGACAGCCAAGTCATCTGCAAAGTTCAGATCGTCCAGCTGCGTCCTAACTGTCCAGTTGATACCGTGCTTCCCTCCAGATGTTGACGTCTTCATAATCCATTCGATGACCAGGAGAAAGAGAAAGGGTGAGAGTAAGCAACCTTGCCTCACACCGGTCTTCACCTCGAAAGAGTCTGTCAGCTGTCCTCCGTGCACGATTTTGCAGTTGAATCCATCATAAGAGTTCCGTATGATGTTAACTATTTTCTCAGGCACCCCGTAGTGTCGAAGAAGAGTCCACAGTGTTTTCCTGTCCACGCTATCGAATGCTTTCTCGTAGTCGATGAAGTTGATGTAGAGTGGTGAGTTCCATTCAATTGATTGTTCCACAATGATCCGTAATGTAGCAATTTGGTCAGTACACGATCGATCCTTACGAAATCCAGCCTGTTGATCTCGAAGTTGGGCGTCTACGAAGTCCTTCATTCTGTTTAATAATACTCTGTTGAAGACTTTGCCTGGTATTGAAAGAAGAGTGATGCCTCTGTAGTTCTCACACTTGCTGAGATCGCCTTTCTTTGGTATTTTGATGAGGTATCCTTCTTTCCAATCTGATTGTACTTGTTCCTCATCCCAAATCTTCTTGAAGAGGATGTGAAATGTTTTCGCAGTTGCTTCTACATCTGCTTTCATTGCCTCTGCTGGAATGTTGTCTGGTCCTGCTGCTTTGCCGTTCTTGATTTGTCTGATGGCCATACTGATCTCCTCAATCGTAGGTGCGCCAATATTAATTGGGAGGTCCTTGGATGCTGCTTTGATGTTGGGTGTCTTCAGAGGAGCTGGTCGATTAAGGAGTTCCTTAAAGTGCTCTACTCACCTATTCCGCTGTTCTTCAGTGTTGCTGATTATTTTCCCTTCCTTGCTTTTCACTGGTCGTTCTGGTTTACGATAGTTTCCGGCGAGCTTCTTTGATGTATCGTACAATTGTTTCAAGTTTCCGTTTGTTGCAGCCTTTTCCGCCGTCATTGCTAGATCTTCCACATATTTTCGTTTGTCAGCTCTGATGCTCTTCTTCACTTCCCTGTTTGCTTCTGTGTATGCAGCTTGTGCGGTAACTTTCTCCGCTCTTGTTCGGCTGACATTGATTGCTGCTTTCTTTTTCCTCCTTTCTTCAATTTTCGCGAGAGTATCAACAGAGATCCATTCCTTGTGGTGCTGCTTCTTGCGACCAAGGACCTCCTGACATGTTGAAGTGATTGCCTCCTTAATCCCTTTCCAATTGTTCTCCAATGTTGCGTCCTCTCCATTGTGTAGATCCTGAAAGGCCTGGAACCTATTGGTGAGGGCTATCCTGAATTCGTTGAGCTTTACAGTATCCCGAAGAAAGGCCGTATTAAACTTCTGTGATGTTGTCTGTCCCGTTGTCCAGTGCTTCTTTAGTTTCAGTTTCATTTTGGCGATTAGCAAATGGTGATCTGAGGCTACATCAGCTCCTCTCCTGGTTCTCACATCCTCCATAGTCCTTCTGAACGTTTTGTTGATACAGATATGATCAATCTGGTTTTGAGTAGTGTGATCCGGTGAAATCCATGTAGCTTTGTGTATGCGTTTGTGCGGGAATATTGTGCCACCGATGACCAGTTTGTTGAAGGCACATAGGTTTGCAAATGTTTCACCGTTTTCGTTTCTTTCTCCCAGTCCATGTCGTCCCATGATGTCTTCATATACAGTGTTGTCCATGCCAACCTTGGCATTCAGGTCTCCCATAAGAATCGTCAAATCCTTTGGTGAACATTTCTCGACGATTGACTGCAGCCTTTCGTAGAATTGATCTTTATCGTCGTCATTGTAGTCGTTGGCAGGTGCATAACATTGGATGACGTTCATTGTAATGTCCTGTTTCTTTGTTTTGTAGGATGCTTTAATGATCCTGGGTCCATGAGATTCCCATCCTATTAGTGCCTTTTGTGCATGTTTGGACAGCATCAATGCAACTCCTTGTGTATGTGAAGCATTTTCCTCTTCATGACCAGAGTATAACAGCAGTTCCCCTGAAGCTAGTCTCAGTTGTCCTACCTGTGTCCAATGCGTTTCACTGATGCCGAGCACCTCGAGGTTGTATCTTTTGATTTCTGCCGCAACTTGAAATAGTCTTCCAGTCTCCCACAATGTACGAACGTTCCATGTACCTAAAAAAATGGTTGCTCTGGTTGTCAGAAGAGGCATCAGCCCCTTGACTTCCGAGGGAACTCGGCTTTCATCACGCGACTTCATAATTCTTCTTCCAACTCCCAGGGCAGAGTTAAAATGGTTTGAATTATTTTTTCTGGTTAGCGTTTTTTTGGCAAGTTAGTTTTTGACGGAATGGGGTCGCCAACCCCATGTCCAACCCTCCTCCTTTATCCGGGCTTGGGACCGGCAGTAGCCCCTAAGGTTCTACTGGCGGAGTTATCTTCTACAATATTACTCATAAAAATGAATACTTTTTGTCAAAATTATTTTTCCTACTAGGATTAAACAGTCAGTGGAAAGAATCCATATTCTGACTCGATTTGTTTTATTCACTCAAACTAAGTTGTTAACCAAAAGTGTAAAGAGAAAAAAAGTGCTTGATAATATTTAATTGTACTTATTGAGGCATACTGTATCTTTACTCATTATCAAAACGATGTCAAAAACATGTGAATTGTTCTCTTCTGTTTATTCTGGTGTACACATTAACATAGATCAATTGTTGTTCAACAAAATAGTGTCACAAATATCGAAGCATCGTCTTGCATTTGTTAAACTATGTCTCGTTTGTTACTAATTAAAGTATCGGACAGCTTGCGAAACTGTTATTGTGCCATTGTGCTAATTATTTCCAAGTTTTTTTAGGGAGTCATTTCCTGAGTCTCTGATCTAGAGGTTTAATCTTCTATAAGGCAGTGGAGAAGTGTCAGGTGTTACATTCCTATGACAACCATTGACCGACAGTAGGTTCATACGCCACTTATTCCCTTAGGATGCTTTGGGGTCCATGTACAACATTGGTTTGAAATTTGGGTTTTCCAACTTCCCTTGGTTGATCCTCTGTACCTGCCAACCCGGTTTAAGCGCTGACCAGACACTCACTTTTCATCCTCTCAATTTTGTAAATAACATCCGCTCCATGAGAAGGCAGTAATTAGGACTTCCGTGTCAGTGGCTATTTACTCATGTCCACATGAGAGCACTTCGAGGCAACGAGAGAGAGAGAGAGATAGAGAGAGGAAGCGAACTCTCTACTCTAGGCTGTACCAAAGCATTTGGGGGCTCTTTATCCTTAACACAGTTAACGTACTAAGATAACACAATGAAATATATATATATATATATATATGCAATCACAAATCATATGTATGTAAATATATCAAGTTGTTAATTATGTGTTGTTTTTCTATAGGCTGATATTAAACAATGCAATCTTGCAGAGAATGATCTCAAGAGTACGTTGAATTTTTTGATCCTTTGTAATCGGTTACAGTCTAAATGATTAATCTTTTGTATATAATTATGATTAGTCAGTTACAATTGTATATATAACTTATTCACATTACAATTTATGTTGTACATTCTGTAATTTTCTGAAAAAAATTTTTTATTGCTATTTGTAATGCACATATTCTATTTCTTTAGTTGAGATACTTGATTTAGCATCAATGTGTGTTGTAGGTCCTTGATGTTTGACCAATTGAATGGATATTATTGTAACTAGAAGTAATATTATATTACTGAGTAATCAGTAGGTCAGTCAGATGCAACGTAGAACTTCGTACGTACGTTAGTACATCAGTTCACGTTGCCGTACCACATTAGCACAGAGATGTAATTGTCAATTCGAATCCCCATAATAGTAGAGGTAGTAAAGGTATTAGAAGTAATTGGAGAGGTTAGGATTAGAAGATATTATATTCAAGAAGTATGATTCAGTGAGATAAGTCTAGAAAGACAAAACTAGAGGTGTTGAAGAATCCAGAAGATTAGGATTTGAGAGAGCTCAACGAATGGATGCACTGGCGCCATTGCAAACGGTTTTGAGCCATGTCATTCAAGGTCTCTAACCATCGATTATTATCATCTCGCAGACCCCAACCAGGTAGTCGACAATTATCGACATGACTCAATCCATTTGTAAGTGACTTCATGGATCTCCGCCATGTTTTGTTATTACTGAGTAATAATACCATATGAACTTGTACACAATTACTGATTTGTACTCAATCAATTTTTGTAACTTTTCACCTCACTGTATGACAGTCTGTTTTACATCTGTTTAAGTAATGTTTGCGTATTTAATCTTGAATGTAACATTACACACCTTAACCAACTTTTGTATTCATATGAGTTGTTATACTGTTTATGTTATTAATGGAATCATGTATGAATCATTGTTAGACCACCATTAGAAGCGTAGAAGCAACGGACAGCCGTCTCATCCTGATATGGGACTCGTCAGTAGTGCAGATCCATGACTCTTACTACTCTTAGAATTCCTACCCAGGACCTTCGGTCTTGGGCGCAAACACCTAACCTCTGGACCAGTGGGCCGTCATCCAACGGTGTTAATGTCTAACTCTGATTTATTTAGGGATTTTGCACAACCTCACGCATTTTTCTTCGGTATTTACTGTCTGCACCCGACAAAGTTGAATTCCACTGGTCATGTCTTTTCACTAGAACTCCGACAATTTCGCCTCACGAAGCTAGTCACTCCATATTCATTATTGAGTGCATTAGGAAACCTGGAATCACTAGACGGCCATTTTGTCCTGGTTGAAAATTAACAATATACATGTAACTATGGTATGTTGTCTGCTTTTTTTCTGTTTGAATCGGCATCATTTTGATTTTATAATCTTTAAAATTAATTAATTAAATTCTTTTTAGCAAAAAACAATGAAATCTTAAAGTTTTTTGAAAATTCCCAAATTGTACATCAAGTGGAAGATTTGCTTAGTAAATATCTTAATTTAGAACAATATTTTCTTCGTGTGACAATGATGAAGGTGAGTAAATTTTCATCACAATATGATATATATGTGTGTTGTAAGTGTTATTGTGTTATTATTGTAAATGACTACAGTTTCATGTAAAGTTTGTTCCGTATGAATAAATGAAAGACAATTGAGAAAAAGTCTCGAATTTATGCTCCATTTCGACTGTATTCCATCCATAAAGTGCCTTTTATAAACAACATTAGGTATCTTTTTTCTTTTTCCTCTAAAGTAAATGTAAATTTTTGTTACGCATTTGCTTTAAATTAAATATTCTTACTTTGATATGTGTGAAGACGTTGAATCACATGGCTGAAAATCGTTTGCAATAGCGCAGGTGCATTCATTCTCTGTGTTCTTTCTATCCAATCCTAATCTTCTGAATTCCTCATCACCTTTATCTCTTCTCTTTTTAACTTTATTTCACTAGATTATACTTCTTGAAAAATCTCTTCAAAACCTTAATCTCGTCAAATTTCTGCTAGTACCTCTTCTACTATGAGATTTGAATTGACGATTTAATCTAATCTGTGTTAATGTGGTTAGACAACTTGAACTGATGTACGTACGTACAAAGTGTTCTACATTGTAATTGACTGACTTTGATATGTGACGTCAGGCAGACAGACAGACAAATACAACGCAGAACTTCGTACGTAAGTACATCAGTTCAGGTTGCCATACCACATCAGCACAGAGACGCGACTGTCAGTTCAAATTCAAGAGTGATAGTGATAGTGGAAGTAATGACAGTAATGGAGAAGATTAGGGAACGAAGATATGATTCGAAAAGTATAATTCAGTAAGATAAATTTAGAAGGAGAAAGGTAGAGATTATGAGGAATTCAAAAGGTTAGAATTACAAAGAACACAAAGAGTGAATGCACCTGCACCATAGCAAACGATTTTGAGCCATGTCGTTCAAGATCCCTAACCATCGATTACTATCATCTCGCGGACTCCAACCAGATAGCCTACATCTACTAACGCGACTCAATCCACTTGTCATTGACTTCATGGATTTCTGCCATGTTTTGGTGTGGCCGCCCCTAACTTTCTTCCAACCTACTCCTACACTACAAAACATAGCTCGTCGAGGCAGTCAATGGTTGAGCATACGCAACACATGTCCCAACCACCTCAACTGATGTAGTTTCAATACTTCATCTATTGATTTGCAACCCTTACCTAGAACTAGTTTCTTAACGTATCTAATAATAGTTTATAATGAGTAACATGTAGGGTGTTCGGATAGCTAATCGAGAAGAATGCCACGCACATTGTGGATTGATGAACTAATTGATTAATGCTCATGATGAACTATATGAATAATGTTCATGATGAACTATTTGATTAATGTTCAAAATATTTAAACGACAATATCGATATTTATATAATTGTATAAATACGCATGTTTGATTGCATATTTTTAATTCTGTTAATAAGCGTTCTCCAACATCTTCCGTCTTCTTATTTTTGAACGGAGGGGTCTAACGTTTGGTGTGTCATTAGTGCAGTGGTTTGGCGTTACATCAAGTAGAAAACATAAAATAGGGTTCTTAAGGAATCAATATTTCTTGTCTCTCTATATCAAACTTTATGCAAATTTACCCACTTAGTCTACTGTTTTTTCTAGTTCTAATGGCACTTGTGAACTGAGTACACAATTTCGCCCATTTCTATTTTAATTAATTATTCTTGACTGGTTTTTAAAATTGATTCTGTTTCCGGAGCAATATAAATCAATAACAATCACTTAAGTGAAATAGACAATTTATGACTGATACCGCTGAACTTTTAAGTTTTCATGACTGTTTATTATTATTTCCACTATTGATTGGTCCACTTGACACGTTGAATGAACATGATTTCTCTTACTGATGAACCATTGAAGGTCCTTAAAGGAACTAGACAGGTTTTTTTAAATATCTGAACATACATAGCAATAACATTCATCTTAAACTATTGAAACGTGTATAATTCAAAGTTTACATTGTTAATTAACTTCAATGAATGTTGACTAGTAAGTCAATGGAACAACTTGATTATTACATTATCTCTAGTTCTTACACATTTGAAATCATCTACCAATCATTGTTAGACTAGCACCATTTGAAACCTGGAAGTACTGAAAGACGGCCGTTTCGTCCTGGTATGGGACTCATCAGTGGCAGTGCGCATCCACGACTCCAAATTTCTTTTGAAGCGGATAGGTGTAAAACTACAAAAGTGAGTGTATTGGCAGGCACTGGGATATGATAAAAAACTGTCTTTCCTTGACATCACACTAAGGAGGCGAAATGATGCCTCACTAAGTAGAAGCGTGTATCGAAAAAATCCCAGTGCCTGCCAGTACACTCACTTCTGTAGTTTTACACCTATCCGCTACAAAAGAAATTTGGTTAGATGTCTCACTTACAGAGCGAATGTGATATGTTCAATGGATACTTTTAGTCAGGAGCTGGAATTCATCAACGGCTCACTAACCGAGATTGGTTATCCCAGCGCATTCATAAAGAAGTATATGTTTGCCGTAAAAAAGAAGTCGGTGGTTTCGACCGCCCGAAAGAAGCCTTTATTTATGAAGCTACTATTCAACGGAGATGTGGCCTGCAATACTCTGCAGGACAGATTAAGAAGCGTAATTAACAGAACATTCAACGCTGCCAAACTTGCATTGACTTTCTCCAGTCGACCTGCGATGTCTATTCAAACGAAGGATAAGTTACCTGAGCTGACCTCCTCTATGTGCATTTACAAATTCAGCTGTTCCTGTGGAGATAGCTATATCGGGCGTACTTCCAGGCAACTTACACAACGAATGAGTGAACATCTCACAGCATGGTTTACGAAGGGTCAGTCAAAAACAATACGCAGTTCTATCTTAGCACACCTGGTAGATAGTGGTCACATTGTAGATAAATCTAGATCTTTTCGGGTGATCTATCGTATACCTCCATCATTTCCCAACGGAGTTCGATCCCGTCTCCTACACATTGCAGAAGCCATAGGAATACTTACATTCAACCCTAATTTATGTGTTCAGAAGAAATTCGTGACACCCCTATCTCTTCCGTGGCCGGATATGACGTAACTAACGATTGACATTATAAATTTATTTATAACCATGAATCGATCAATGTTAGACCACCATTAGAAACCTGGAAGCACTGGACGGCCGTTTCGTCCTGGTATGGGACTCATCAGCAGTGCGCATCCATGACTCCTGCTCCTCGCAGTATTCGAACCCAGGACCTTCGGTATTGTGCGCGAACGCCCTAACCGTTAGACCACTGAACCGGTATCTAACGGTGTTAATGTCTAACTTGATCAAATCCACGGAGTTGCGCGACCTCATACCCTGTATACATCCGGACAGGTTTGAACTTCACTGGCCACGACTTCCCACTAGAACTCGGAGAAGATTCCTCACCAAGCTAGTCACTAGTGGACACATGTCATTGCATTGCGGGGTTATTGTGAAGATTGTTAAGTTTTATTTGTAGCCATGACTCGATCAATGTCTAACAACCCCGCAATATAAATTTATTATTATTATTATTACTTTTTATTTTATTTTTACACATTGCCTTATTACGTAATGTTTTTGATGTTTTTGATGATTATTTGAGTTCTATTCATCTACCCTTGACCTACTTTAGTTATCATATTTTATAAATTTTCCTACTACTATCGGTTCACCTATCTTCCTACTATCCACTTGAACTTTTGCCTATTAGATGTAGTTACGTAATCTCTTTCGTTTCATTGTGATTATCACTCAAATTGCCTTGATTGGTTTAACATTTTCATATAAATATTCATGTATATTAGAGAGTAAAGCAGCCTGATGACGATCTAATCGAAAACAATATTCTTCGCTTATATGTGTTGTTCTGATTTCAAATGTGTAAAAACACCAAACCTCCAAAACTCTGCCCGACAATTATCTAGTTCAATGCAAAGCTAGAAATCTTGTGATTATAAATTTTTTTTTTAAAAAGCAATACGTTTATTGTTAGATCGAATTCATGCTGTCATAAATTTTTTCCTGTTGGGTCTGATGCAGCAGTTCCATCTGAAATGATTCTTGACATCAATTTTTAAACAAAATCTGAACAGAGAAAAGAGAAAACATATTTTGTGAGATAGTACCATTTCGTGCTTTCTCGTCAGTCACATACAAGCAACATGTTATTTGTGTAAATACAGTTTTGAAGATAAGGTCAAAATTTCTTATTTAGCATGACATTCACTGACTTAGAACCATGGTAAACAAAGGTCAACATACAGTTGTTTTTGAACACATAAAGTTGGACTTTTCCGACCAATCAAGATAGTTTAGAGTAGTTTGAGTGTGTGCGGGTTTTGATGACATGTCACAACTCTAAAGACTGATTTTGGGTCAGTTGGATGACCACTCATCATTAGATGTTTTGCAATGGACGAGGCTGGGTTTCTTGATCGATCTTGAGTTGACGAGCTAGGTTCATGAATCATGGATCTGATCAACCATCTTGGAATATGTTCCCCTATCCTGCCCTCCAATCGGCGATCTGTCCTCCCTAAGTAACTTTCTCCGCAGTTACATGTGAATTGGTAAATACAGTGGGATTTGGACTGAATAGGTCTTGGAGACTTGATTGCGGTAACTGAGATCGATTGAGTTGTTGTGGCAAGCCTCAGATTAGCTGCATTGAAGGTCTTTTTTATTGCAACTGCAGTCTGTTTAGTTGTAATTTTCATGCAATGATCACCTTTGAAAGGTAACTGTAGGTACACTGGTTTCTTGGGCACATCAGTTGCTATCAGTTTGTATGTAACTGACGAGAAAACACGAAATGGTACTATCTCACAAAATATGTCTTCTCATTTCTCTGTTCAAATTTATCAAAGGGAATCACTGTTTTAAACAAAATCTGTTTTTCTGTTTTCTTTGTTTTCAATGATCTTTTTATTTGTGAAGGCATTAAATTCAGATGAAGTGAACAAATCTAATAATGTATGGGATTTTATTGATGATGTGTTTTTCATTGCCAAAAAAAGTCTTACGTAAGTTTCAATGTTTGTTTTTTTTCAAAAGTCTTGATAAATGTTCAATTCACTTCACGTATGCCTAACCATTGACTGCCTCAACGAGCTATGTTTTGTAGTGTAGGAGTAGTTTGGAAGAAATTTAGGGGCGGCCAGACCAAAACATGGCAGAAATCCATGAAGTCATTGACAAGTGGACTGAATCGTGTTGGCAGATGTAGGCTATCTGGTTGGGGTCCGCGAGACGAAAGTCACCGATGGTTAGAGACCTTGAATAACATGGCTCAGGATCGTTTGCAATGGCTTAGGTGCGTCCACTCTTTGTGTGCTTTTTAATTCTAACCTTTTGAATTCCTCATAATTTCTATCTTCTTCCTTCTATATTTATCTCACTGAATCATACTTTTTGAATCATATCTTCTCTCCCTAATCTCCATTGCTGCTAATAATTCTACTATTGCTATCACTGTTGGATTTGAACTGACAGTCGCGTCTCTGTGCTGACGTGGTATGGCAACCTGAACTGATGTACTTATGTACGAAGTTCTGCTTTGTATCTGTCTGTCTGTCTGTCAATGAAATAAACCAATGTATCTATAATGACTTAGCTCTCTCTTTGGTGATCAAGTTACATGGAATGATAATTTCCGTTATCATTGAATCGATGGATGGAGTGTATTTTGTCACTGTTATGGGTTTGGTTTTTAATTTTGTTGAAATCCACAAGTATCATTCAGAAAAGGTTTTTTTAATTCACTGTCTAGTTGATGAAAACTGATTCTTCAGGGTACAATCAATTTCATCTGTCATTGGTGGAAACTATTTGTTCTTGGTTGTCCCAGTCAATCAAATAAGACTCATAAAATCAAACCTGGAATTTTTACTTACCCGAATATAAGAAGAAAATCGCTGATTGCTAATAACCAATAGTGGTAAATAGTCCAGAATCTGCTAGGTATTATTCACCTCATGTGTTGCGTATGCCTAACCACCGACTGCTTCGACAAGCTATGCTTGGCAATTTAGGAATAGGTTGGAAGAAAGCTAGGGTCAGCCATGCCAAAACATAGCACAAATGCATCAAGTCATTGACAAGTGGACTGAGCCGTGTTGGTAGATGTCGACTACCTGGTTGGGGTCCGCGAGATGATAGTAATTGATGGTTAGAGACCCCTGAATGATATGGCTCAAAACCATTTGCAGTGGCGCAGGTTCATTCACATTGTTTGTGTTCTGTCAAAGTATAGTCCTCTAGATTTTTCATCCACTTTGTCTTTTTCTCCTAAAGTTTGTTTCACTAGATTCTACTTCGTGAGTAATATCTTCGAACCCAAATCTCTCCGATTACTGTTTATTCTTCTATTACCTCAACTACTATGGGATTTAAATTGACAGTTGCATCTCTGTGCTAATGTGATATGGCAACTTGAGCTGATGTACGTACGTACGTACGAAGTTCTGGGTTGTTTCCGATTGAATGACTGACTACATTAGTAGACAGCCATTGTAATTTGAAACTAATCGACAGTCAGCAGTGTGCCCCGCCCTCCTCTATCCCACAATAGAACTAACACAAGAGCTTCATGTGTAGGCGGTTGAGTGAGTACATTGGAATTAAGAATACAAACCAATGGATACTATTAACTCAGTGATCTAAAGAGTCTGAGTTTAATCCACTGAGTGGTTGTGAATTCGTGTAAACTATAAAACAATACATCATTTAAAAAATTATTTTTCCGACTGTATAAATAGTTAGTTATACCGTATAATATCAGCAAATATATTTATTAATCACTGATTGACTGACTATTTATAAAATGATTCACTTCAATTGTATTAAGATTGTTTTTTGCATTTCCTATTTTTCATTATCTAGTCGATCTCTTTCATGTGGTAATGTGGATACTGTTTGTGCAATGATAAATCATAGTTGTTCATTGCTAATTGATCTGTTGGTGAATGATTCTTTGGGCAATATTATTCGTATGGGATTTCCTTCAGGTTGGGTACAAAATGCATATAGTTATGTTCAGAATAGTGTTGCTGTAGGTAAGTTACATTTTTGTTTGTCAAACATGTGTTATATTTCTCAGAAGAATAATGATGTCACAGCTACTCAAGGTCTGAGGGCGAAGTCGTACTGCTGACTGTGATGGAGGGGTGTGACAGCAGTAAGGTGTTTCCCTCGGACAACCAGCATCTGCAGAGATGCTGCAGCCTTCTCACAAGGAATGAAGGGTTAAAGAAGGTCGACCCTAAAAATATCACACCTCACCCTACCTCACGGATTTCCGTCTTCGTCGGTAAGGGTGCCCACTAAGGGCTTTCAAGAGCGGAGCTAATAATCAAAAAACCCTTCATAAACAGGCCGTGCTTGACCGGCCTCAAGCAATTGTCCCTTGGACTCTGCGGTCACGCACCCAGGTCTCTAAGATCAATGCTAATATACCTTCCTTTTCAGGTTCCTCAAGAAGCAACCTTCCACGGTGTGGGCAGCGGGGAAGTGACAACCGCCCTCATACCCGTAACTGCACACGAGACCAAATTGGTCGAAATCAAATCCTTCCTACACCCCCTAATGCCTCTCATGTCTCCACGACTAACTCTTCTCACATTCATTTATCACAGTGCACAGCTAATACAAACGATGCGAGTTCACGAAACGTCATTTCCGGTCTCTTGAAACCTCGTTCTAGACTACATGTTGGAGCATTTAGTGTACGGACATTGCGTCAAATAGGGCATCAGGCATCATTAGCTAGAACTTTAGATTCTCGTGCCATCGATGTGTGCTGTGTCTCGGAAACGCGCATACAGGATCCTAGTAAAGTCATTAATCTGATTTCGCCTTGTCAAAACTAAGAAGCAGCTCGATTTACTCTTCGTGTATCCGGTAGTCCTGATGCTGCTTCCCGGTGTCTCGCTGGTGTAGGTATAGCATTGAGTCGTAGGGCAAAACAATCTCTCCTAGCCTGGATCCCTGTAGATAGTCGTTTGTGCCCCGTCCAACTAAACGGGACAGTAAGGATTCTAAAGGATAGGGACACCCGTCGTTGCCTCTTCGTCGTATCTGCCTATGCCCCCACTGGCTTATGCTTTTTGAATAATATCTTCTAACCCTGGTCTTCTCCATTACTGATATAACTTTTACTACCTCTACTACGATGGGATTTGAATTGACAATTGCATATCTGTGTGCTAATATGGTGTGGCAACTTGAAATGATGTATGTATGTATGTAGGAAGTTCTACATTATAACTGACTGATTAACTGTTTTATAGACATCCATTCTGAAAAGTTTTCATTAGAACCTTATCAGATTACAGGCATTTTGTGTTTAGTTAGTGTTAGAATCCACCATACATGTTTCGTTTTAGTTAGAACTCATTAACTGGATTAGTCTACACTCGTTTGGTTGAAGTTCTCACTATGACTCGAATACAGTGGGAGCTACTTGAAGACTATAGTATAATCATTTGCGGAAATACTAAATTACAAATGAAGATCACTTTTCTTTTCAAGTACTTTAATACAACTTTAGTTATAAGTGTAGTGTTCAAATTCTATTGTTGTCGATATTTGATAATAAATTGATCAGTCTTCTATTGACATGTGATCTCTATCAATATTGATCAAAAATCTGTACACACCTGAAGACTTTACTCAAACATTGAAAAGTTGTAACATTTTATATTTCACATGTATTGACCAAATTGCAAGTGGGATCCACCACCCTACATCAACTTCATTGACTAACGAGAAAGTATTTAATAGCGAAGGTAGGACAACACTTGGAGGCTCCTTAAACACTACGGACTGCCTGAGAAGATAGTCAACAACATACGGAATTCGTATTATGGATTAAATCGTGTATGGATGACAGGTGTCAGGCAAGGTTGCTTACTCTCACCCTTTCTCTTTCTCCTAGTGATTAACTGGATTATGAAGACGTCAACATACGAATGAAACATGGTCTACAGTGGACAGCTAAGATGCAGCTGGATGATATGGCTTTTCTATCCCACGCGCAAGAACAAATGCAAGAGAGGATGACAAGTGGGATAGAAGACTCTGCAGTGGTAGGTCTCAATATACACAAGGAGAAAAGCAAGATTCTCCGATACATCACAACATGCACCAACCAAACCAAACTTGACGGGAAGGCTTTGGAAGATTGAAAAACCTTTACATATCTGGACAGTATCATTAATGAGCATGGAGGATCTGCTATGCGGATCAGCAAAGCAACTGCTGCATTTATGCAATTGAACTACATATGGAACTCTAAACATTTATCAAACAATTTCAAATTCACAATTTTCAATACAAATGTCAAGACAGTTCTACTGTTCGGGGTAGAAACTTGGAAAACTACCAAAACCATTATTCAGAAGACAAAAGTATTAATTAATAGTTGTCTACACAAACTACTTCGGATCCGTTGGCCATACACCTTTAGCAACAACCCCACTGTGGGAGATAAAAAAGCAGATTCCAGCGGAGGATTAAATCCAGAAGAATTCGATAATACATTGAAGAAAGCACCCAAATGCGTCGCAGGCCAAGACCTCACTTGGAATTCTCAAGGCCAAAAGAAAAGACGATGTTTGAAGAACATATTACACTGAAAAAAATGGAGACAGACATGAGAGGAATGAACAGTAATTGGACAAAACCAGAAAGGAAGGCCGAGGAAAATGTAGGCTGAAGAATGCTAGTCGGTTGTCTATGCTCCACTAGGAAAAACAGGCATATATATATATATATATATATATATATATATATATATATATATGTAAGCGACGGCTTAGAGCTATTGGGTTTGTCACTAAGTATGCTTGAGGCTATTACGAGTTTACCCTAGTCGATAAAGGTGAACGAGACTTTTACCAGCGTCCAGGTAGACTACCTTGAATCCCCAAATAGAGTAAGAAGGCTTTGTAAGCGTAGAAAGTATATTCTACAAACAGTCACAAGCAATCACAATACAATCAAGCACACAACTCTCGTTTATTTATACATCATAGAAACGTCCTTGGGACAGTTACGAAAATAGCACACTAAAATACACAGCAGCCAATCACAGCCATGGATTTTCCTGGTGGGAAACGAAATCTCAAGGTCAACTGATCAGTCCATGCTCGCAAACGTGATAGCCAAAATAAGTCATTTATCAAGCGAGTTTTGGGTATCTAACATCCCCAACAAGAGCTTTGTACATTCATCAGTTTGTCTGTTGTATCATTTTGTTTTGAAATCAAAATGTTGCTAACATTTCGATGTAAGTTATTGGCTTGATGGAAGTTACATCGATATGATGGATAGTGAACTGAAAATTACACAATTTTATTTAAAACATCATCATACTATCAAATAAACAAATCGTTACTTAATACAAATATTTTCATTTTTCTATCTAATTTCGTGTTACTCTAGCTGGTTCACTTAGTTCTTCTTCTTCATCCATCATAGTCAATATGCCTAATGTATCATCATCTTTCAATATGACTGGTTCGAATACAATTGCACGATATCATTTTCTGATTACTTTGAATAGTATTGAATCATCTCAAAAAAATCTACTCGCTCTTGTTACTCATCTTGAACAGGAATCAAATTTACTTTATCAAGATCAAGATAATAATTTACAGAAACTTCATGTATGTTACAATTTTTCTTTTCAAAATTAATTATGATATATTATTAAATCATGTAAACTTTAGATCACATTAAAATTATGAATCAATGATTGTTAGACCGTCATTAGAAACTTGAAAGACGACGTTTCGTCCTATTATAAGACTCATCAGCAGTTGCGCATCCACGATCCCCGTTCGCCCCGAATGTGGTGGTCTGGCATGCTTATCGTGATGATCCAACCGAGCTATACTGGCTGAAACTTATGTTCCTGAAGGTTCTACCATGCCAGGCAGGTCGATCGGATAACGATGAGACTAAAAGCAGCTACTTAAGGTCTCACGGCGAAGTCATACTGCTGACTGACTGAAGAAGAGTGTGACAGCAGTAAGATGTTTCCCTCGGACAACCAGCATTTACAGCGATGCTGTCTTCTCACAAGGAGGGAAGGGTTAGAAAAGGTCGACCCTAAAAATGTCACACCTCACCCCACCTGACGGATTTTCGTTTCCGTCGGTAAGGGTGCCCACTTAGGGCTTTCAAGAGCAGAGCTAATTCTCAAAAAACGTTTCATAAAAAGGCCGGCCTCAAGCAGTTGTCTCCTGGGCTCTGCGGTCACGCACCCAGGTCTCTAAGACCAACGCTAATCTGTCTTCCTTTTCAGGTCCCTCAAGAAATACGCTTCCACAGTGTGGGCAGCGGGGAAGTGACAACCGCCCTCATACCAGTAACATTAACAGCACCCCTGTTCGCAGTTGAACCCTGTTGGGTGTAGCCAGTGACATTGGGTGAAGTTGTACAAAACCTCAAATTGATGAAAGTTATTGTACGCCGACTAAGTGTTCTAGAGTGTAAACGTTCGCGCATGAGGCCGAAGTTTCGGGGTTCGATTCCCGCTAGCATTGGTCGTGCAAGCACACTGTCGAAGAGTCACAAACTGGTTGTTTGCTATTTTTACCTTGATTCGTAATCCTGTACTTGTGCATGAATTTTTAATAGGTCGATAAATTTAATCGATATGATGAATTGATTGACTGAGTCCACTAATGTTTCAATACTTTTGAAATTTCTACTTTGAGGTTGTTCAGAAAAGTAGTGAAAGCTTCTCATCCAAATTATCCAGCTCACAGAACAAAGGAGAGTTCTATTTCCCACTTAAAATACTGTAATATTAACTTCGGTATCTTTCAGGAAAGCCTCCATAACTTTCATGTGTCGAAGATGTTTCGAAATATGGAATAAATTTATGAAGTCACCGACTCTCGGATTGATCCGTGACTATTTGGCTGATATTCTCAACCAGTAGTTGGTGACAGGTTGACATGGAGTAGAACCGTTCTCAATGACCTAGGTGCATGCACTCTTTACCTTTTCTTGAGTGCTGAGTTTCCTAATAACTTAAAAAAAGTACACTCTGCGGATCCATAATTTCTCGAACTATATCGTCTAGGCCATTAATACTCAGTCAGTCAGTCAGTCAGTCGGCTGCAACATAGAACGTCGTATGTACGCACATCATCCCAAGTTCCCACACCATATTAGCACACAGAGATGCAATTGTCATTTCAAATCTTATTGTAGTAGAGGTAGTAGAAGTATTAGCGGTAATAGAGAAGATTAGGGATCGACGAACTGATTTTAAGCAGTATAAACCAGTGGAATAAACTTAAAAAGAGAAAGGTCGTGATGAATCCAGAAGATTAGAATTTACGAGAAGACGAATAATAGATGCACCTGTTCCATTCCATGAGATTTTGAGCCATGATGTCATTCAGAGTCTCTGACCACCGGTTAAGATTATCTCACCGATCCTAACTAGTTAGTCTACACGTACCAATATAGGTCAATTCAGTTGTTAGTGACTGTATGTATATGTTCCATGTTTTGTTCTTACCGCCTTTAGATTTCTTCCAACCTACTTTTACACCACGAATCATAGCTCGATGAGGCAGTCAGTGGTTAGGCATACGCATAACGCATGTTCCAACCACCTCAACTGATGCAGATTCGCTATTTCATCAGTTCATTTGCCATCCTAACCTAGTACCCGTTTTCTAACACTAGCATTGCTTAATTGGTGGTCCCAAAATATGCATGCAATGTTGCGAAGACACTAATGATCGAAACCCAGTAACTTTTGAATATCCTCTACTCTTTCTGGTCATGTTTCACACCCATAGAGTAGTATGACGGAGTAAACTGCTGCTTAGTAGACTCGTCCTTTAGTTGGTAGGTGGATATCTTGCCTACGCTGAATGACGCAAGTTGGCCAAAAATGAGTTGGACGTTCTGTATCGTTGCTGAGATTTTGTTAGACATCATTCTATCAGCACTAATGATGCTCAAGATAAGTGAAGTAGTCAACACGCTCAACTATTTAACTCCTTATCACTAATTCAGATGCTGATGCAAGCCAATCATAAAGCTACATTTTACTTTTGGAAGGGCAGAATCACACCGCAAACATGCTTTGATTGTTGCTTAAGGTTGGTTGTTAGAAGACAGCTTTTTTTTCCAATTTCTTCACCATAGGCAAACCCGATCATCACATCAAGTTAGCAGTAGTTATGGTTGGGCAATTAATTTTCATCAATGATGCACAGAATTTTTGCCTTTCCTGTTTGTAATTATAATTCTATATCATTACGTTTAAATATGTTCTTTTCATTATTATTTTACTTGTTACTCATCTGTACATGCTTGTTTTTTTTTTAAAATTGTAATTTAAGATGTGTATTACAGAATTAAAAAGTTCTGTCTCAGATCAATTGCAAGCATTACTTGATTCTGCTTTTGAACATCTATCAACTGGGATTATTCAAAGTCAAGTAAAAACTTTGTTAAATATTTTCAAAACATTAAAATATGATTTACTTGAGGTAAGTTTAGTTTTTTAGTTTTTTGTTATGCATTTGTAATCACTGTGATCTATTTAATTCTGTTAACGTACCGCTTGAAGCTATTACGAGTTCATCTTAGTGGATAAACGTGATCGAGACAATGAACCAGCGTCCAGATAAGCTACCTTGAATCCCAAGCTGAAGCGTAGAAAGTATAGTCTACAAACAATCACAAGCAATCACAATACAATCAAGAACACAACTCTCATTTATTTATACATCATAGAAACAACCTTGGGACAGTTAAGAAAATAGCACACTAAAATACATAGCAGCCAATCACAGCCATGGATTTTCCTGGTGGGAAATGAAATCTCAAGGTCAACTGATCAGTCCATGCTCACAAACGTGAAATCTAAACTAAGGCATTTATCAAGCGAGTTTTGGGGATCTAACATCCCCAACAAATTCTTCAATTCGTTCTTTGCTTGTGTATTTACTTATTTGCTGATTCGTGCACCAGTCTTTAAGTTATACTTGAAGTGTGCAGACTAGAGATATGACCTAGTTGCCCGCATTTAAGTGGAGATAAGGTAGGATTCAGGTGTGTAACCTGGTGGTTAGAAGCCGAACCTCTTAACCGGTGGACTCTACCGTTTAAGACAACGTCCTTTTCCTCTGTTCTTACATCGTAGTGACTATTAGTTCGCTTACATTTTCTTCGTGATAGTTTGGTACTTTTGACTAGTAGCGTTATTTTTCACTACTCTACGTATGTTTTATAAATTGTACACTTATTCAAATAATGTCTTTGTTTGGTGATTTAGATTGTTGAAGTTACTGTTACCGATAAAAATATTGTCCTCATTTTTACGTAACCAACTTATAAGTACTATCATAGCATTTCTAATAGAAATAGTATTTACTGATTTACAAAGTTGTATTTTTTCGACTTGCACATCTCAATTCATCATCTACTTTCATGTATACACTGACTTATTACTTTTTTAAGCTATTTACAAAGCATTTTTTCTGTGATTTGTGATGATACCACCTCGCCACAATTTAGTAAAAAGTTATTAGATCTTTTCATCTCGTAAATTCATTTTATTACAGCAAAATCATTTATTTTTACACATCGACATCATGAATGAATCACTGTGTTAAGACACCATTCGAAACCTGGAAGCACTGTATATTGACCGTTTTGTCCCAGATTGGGACTCATCAGCAGTAGTGTACATCCACGACCCATGCTGCTCGCAGGATTCGAACCTAGGACCTTCGGTCTTGCGCGCGAATGCCTAATTCCTGAACTACTTAGTGAGCATCCAACTGATGATGAGTCCCATACTAGAACGAAACGGCTGCCCAGTGATTCCCGGTTTCTAATGTTGGGCTAATAATGGTTCATTCACGATTCCAATATGTAAAAAAACATTGTTAACCGTTAAAAGTTGGAGAGAGAAATATTAGATCCTTGCTTAGTGAATCAAAATGAATTAGTTTACTGTAATATTATGTATTATTAATGACAAGCTGTGTTTGAAGTTTATGTAGTTATACTAATTATACTACTTACAAGTAGTACCTACCTAATTATTAAATTACCTTACAATTTTCCTGTTCCAAATGTATGTCATACTTAACAACTTAACCAACTAACTTTTTTATCAGTTAATAATGCACTTATTATTGTTATTCAATGAGATGTCCAATTTATAACGCACAACGTTATCTTAAAATAAACTTCCAACCTACTCCTACACCACAAAACCTAGCTTGTCGCGGGAGTCGGTGGTTAGGTATACGTAACACATGTCCCAACCACCTCAACTGACGGAGCATTGAAACCACATCAGTTACGTATGCCTAACCACCGACTGCCTCATCGAGCTATGTTTTTCAGTGTAGTAGTCAATTGGAAGAAAGTTAGGAAGGCCAGACCAAAACATGGCAGAAATCCATGAAGTCACTGACACGTGGACTGAGTCATGTTGGTAGATGTAGGCTTCGTGGTTGGGTTCCGCGAGATGATAGTAATCGATGGTTAGAGACCTTGAATGACATGACTCAGAATCGTTTGCAATGTCGCAGTTGCATCCACTATTTGTATTCTTCCTAATTCTAACCTTCCGAATTCCTCATTACCTCTATCTTTCTCTTTATAAATTTATCTTACTGAATTATACTTTTCGAATCATATCTTCGCTCCCTAATCTTCTCCATTACTTCTAATACTTCTTTTATTCCTATCACTCTTGGATTTGAACTGACAGTTGCGTCCTGGTGCTGATGGTGCATTGGCAACCTAAACTGATGTACGTACGTACGAAGTTCTGCGTTGTATCTGTCTGTCTGTCTGTATCACTGTTGGGATAGACAATCGAGGAGAAAGCCACGCACATTGTGGATTGATGAACTATCTGATTAATGTTCATGATGAACTATTTGATTAATGTTCATGATGAACTATTTGATTAATGTTCGTGATGAACGATTTGACCAATGTTCAAAATATTTAAACGACAATATCGATATTTATATAATTGTATAAATACGCATGTTTGATTTTATATTTTTGATTCTTTTAATAAGTGTTCTCCAACGTCTTCCGTCTTCTTATTTTTGAACGGTGGGAGTCTAACGTTCGGTGTGTCATTAGTACAGTGGTTTGGCGTTACATCTAGTACAAAACATAAAAGAAACCCAATCTTGAAGCAACATTTTGCATTTCGAGGGCGAGAACCGCATCCTGAACATTCTTGCATTGTTGCTCATGGTAGTCAGAAGACTCTGAATTTTGTCCACTTCTTCACTGAATAGGACCATGTCATCGGCATATTCTAAGTCGATAAGTGATCCAGCTGAAGCAATGTTTAGAAGACGTATTCGGACTGTTTTTAACGCGATGTTGCCCCCTAAAAGAGCGAATAGGTACAGGCCCAATCAAAATATTCGCAGCTTCAACGTTGGCGATAAAGTGTTCCTAAAATCATGTCGGGAGAAAAATCAACGGGTACCGGGAATCGTCGTCCAACGACTAGTAAGAGTTTTGTATCGAATTACAGGAGCTTTCGGAAGCTGTGTTAGACACACGAACCAACTGCGAAGGGACGCTCGGTTGATAATCACGTAAATCTACCGCTGGAGTTGATCACAGAACCGACAACTACACATTTGTCCTGAATACCGAAGAAAAGGGAAGGTTGGAGACACTAACTCGAAAAACTATAACCAGAATGGAACGTCACCGCAAAACCAGTCGTAAGACTACAAGTGGACCCGAGAAAAAAATCTTATTGCGGGGAGGTGTTGGGATAGCCAATCGAGAGAAGAATGCCACGCACATTGTGGATTGATGAACTATTTGATTAATGTTCATGATGAGCTATTTGATTAATGTTTAGTTTATAATGAGTAACATGTAGGGTGTTCGGATAGCTAGTCGAGAAGAATGCCACGCACATTGTGGATTGATGAACTATTTGATGAATGCTCATGATGAACTATATGATTAATGTTCAAAATATTTAAACGACATTAATATAATTGTATAAATACGCATGTTTGATTGTATATTTTTGATTCTGTTAATAAGTGTTCTCCAACGTCTTCCGTCTTCTTATTTTTGAACGGTGGGAGTTTAACATTCGGTTTGTCATTAGTACAGTGGTTTGGCGTTACATCTAGTACAAAACATAAAAATCAACATGATAAAACTATTTAAGAAGTGTTCATATAACATGCACTATCCATATTAGTAGAATTCGATTTTTAATTTTCTTTATTGACTAAAAAATCAATAAACCTAGTAGAAATAATTTCTTCCATTTTTTACTCATTTTCATTTTCTTTCTATTTCACAGGAAGATTTAGATGTTTATGCTGCAAACGATCCATGGATTGAATCATGTATAGCTCATATAGAAGATTTTTTGAAACCATTTAGGGTAGATTGACATTTATTGATTAGTGTACTTACTTATTTTGTGTCGTTTTTTTTTGTTTGATTGTTGCTAATAAATCATGTCGTTGACATGATGATGGAGAATATGTGTATAGCTGAGGTAGATGGTATTTGTGATGGAGTTTCTTCTTTACTTCTAGTGGTGTCCGTTAGGGATGTCCACTCTCTCCATTCTTGTTTAATTTTATCATAGACATGCTCCTAGAAATAACCTTATCCTCGTCTGAAATATCAGGAGTAGACCTTCTAACATGTGGCTCGCTAATTGACTTAGAATATGCCGATGACATAGTCTTCACCAAGTAGGACATTGACAAAATGCAGAGTCTTCTGACTACCCTAAGCAACAATGCATGCATGTTCGGGATGCGGTTTTCCTCCTCGAAATGCAAAATGTCGCTTCAAGATTGGGTTATATCGGCACCTGAATTAGTGATAGCGAGTGAAGTAGTCGAGCGTGTAGACCGCTTCACTTATCTGGGTGGTCTCATCAGTCTTGATGTCCTGGTTTGTGAGGAAATCTCAGCTCGGATACAGAAAGCTCGACCGGCTTTTGCCAACTTGCGTCACTTATGGCGCAGGCGAGATATCCGCTTGTTAAACAAAGGACGAGTGTACTGTGCAGCAGTTCTCTCAGTCCTACTATATGGATGCGAAACATAGCCGTTAAGAGTAGAGTACTTTCGTAGGTTACTAGTCTTCGATCATAGGTGTATCCGAAGCATTGCTCGTATATCCTGGGACGACCGAGTAAGGAATGCTATCTTTAGGAAACGAGTTCTAGGTAGGGATGGCAAATCAATAGATGAAGTATTGAAACTTCATCAGTTGAGGTGGTTGGGACATGTGTTACGTATGCCTAACGACCGACTGCCTCGACGAGCTATGTTTTGTGGTGTAGGAATAGGTTGGAAGAAAGTTAAGGGCGACCAAACCAAAATATGGCAGTAATCCATGAAGTCACTCACTGACAAGTGGACTGCGTCATGTTGGTAGATGTAGGCTACCTGAATAAATATGCATTGTCTGAAACGTTATTTGATCCGGGTTCTTAGCCTAGCATCCTTAACCTCTTCTGGACTCGAACGGAGTACTTTCTGAGTGTTTGTAAAACGCACTTTCCACTTCATATCTTGTTTTGTTCTTCTATTCAATGGGGGTTTGGGACGCTTGGATTAGAGTAGCCAATTGTGTCTCGAAATCATCGGTCCTCGTTCTCGTTTACTAGCTAAGGTGAACTTCTAATAGTTCAAGTATATCAAATGACGTGTTGACATGGATTTGTAACATCTTTATACTACTCTCTCTACCCAGTATTTAAACATTGTTGCAATCAAATATATGTCCACAGGTGTCCGTATGTATTGATGTAAGGGAAGAAATATCATTGCGTTTGACTACTAATTGATAGTCACGCGGATGAAACTGTAGAGCATGTCGACGTTGTCCTATGTAGTGTTCTTCACAATCTGAGCAACTTATTTTGTAGACGATATTTGGTTTTTCTTCTTTTGTCATTTTGTCCTTTGGTCTGCATAAGGTTGATTGAAGTGATTCTGTTGGTTTGTGTGGTAGATCTATTCTAAATGGCTCCAGTGATAGTGTTGCAATTCCTGATATATCGTTTAAATGTATTAGAATGATTTGTTTGTTGGTTTCTGTACTTGATCTCGCTTCTATTGATGGTTTAAGTTGATATTCTTTGGTGAAGTTACGTGCATCGTCAATCTTTTGGAAGATAGTCATGAGATATTCTTCCTCGTTTTTCAGTGCTTCATACGTGTTGCAGTGCGTCTTCACTCTCGTGAACAAAGTTTATACGCAGTAGCTTTTGTGAGTTCTTGGGTTGTTCCTACTGTAATCGAGAGTTAGGTCTATGTGGGTTGACATTTTAAATACTCTAGTCTCCAGTTTTCCTTTTTCAGTTCTGGTAATTACTACATCCAGGAATGATAGACTGTAGTTTGATTCCCTTTTCATTGTGAGTTTTATGTCATCGAAGAAGTTATTGATCCGATTGTAGATGTTCTCCAGCTCGTTCCTTTTAATGATGACGAATGTGTCATCTACATAACGAACCCACATTTTTGCCTTGATCACTGTTAAACTCGATGCTTCTAGTCTGCTTCAGGTCTTCTGCAGAGTAAGTCCTGATGCAGGTGATCCCATCTGTGTTCCTTTCATTTGTTCTTAGATTTTGTTGTTGAATTAGGAGTACGTTGTTAATCATAAACTAATGAGTTGTAATCGGTTTTGACTCTGAAGTATCGTATAATTTGGGAGATTTATGTTGTTGGCGAGGAGCATGGATAGAGAGAAATAAATAAATTGTTTTATTAAAATCATGAGTCAATGATTGTTAGACCACCATCAGTAACCTGTAAACATTGGACGGCAGTTTCGTCCTAGTACGGGCCTCATCGGCAGTACAAATCCATAATACCAGCTTGCTGAGCTTTCAATTTCACGCGCTAATAATTAGCTTCGTGAGGGAATTTTTGGAATTCTAATGAAAAGCTGTCATCAATGGAATTCAAACTTGTCGGATGTGGGCAGTAAACTAACAAAAGACAATGGGTGAGGTTGTGCAAAACCTTAGATTGATCAAAGTTAGACACATTAACACCGTTAGATGCCGGCTTACTGGTCTATTTATTCAGCGTTCGTACGCAAGACAGTAGATCTTGTGTTCGGTTCCCGTTCGCGGAAGTCACGGACGCGCACTGCTGTAAAGCACTTTACTGGGACGAAACGGCCATGCTTCAGTTCATCTAGGTTTCTGACGATGTGTTACGCCTGCTCGTAAACACGTCATTTTGATATGCTTGAACTTTTACGAGTTTACCTAGCCGGAAAATGAGAACGAGGATTGAGGATCCGGCGACACGACATACTACTCAAATCCGATTATCCCAACTCCCATATTGAGTAAAAATAAGAAGACTTAATATGAAGTAGAACCTGTATTCTACAAGCATCCAGAAAGTACGAGGTCCGAGTCCAGAAGAGAATCAGGATCCTCGACTAGGGATCCGGGACTGGGTCTTGGTCCTGGTCATAAAACGTTACAGATAATGCGTATTTATGCATTTCGGTCGAATGAAAAATAGCATCGAAGTGTGTGACATTGACAGTTAAGAAAACCAATAGGAAGTAAAATTTGAAATGACACTGACAGTCAGGTCAACCGATAAGAAATAACATTGGAGCACGTGACATTGATTTCTAGGACGACCTTAAAATTGACCAGTAGGAATCAACCAATAGGAATTGACCAATAATGATTCTCTTAGGATATTGGATGAATATCCTAACACGATGGTGTAACAATAGTTGATTTATGATTCGAATGAAACGATTTTCGTGCAGCAAAAATAAGGTACTTTGATTGATATACACATTAAAAAGTGGTGATTTATTATTATTAATATTATTATTATTATTAATGTTATTCAATAGACTGATTATTTGCTTTTATTATCATCCTTATTAATATTATATAGTCTGTTTTATCAACTGAAAATAATGATCGATTCGTGTTAATTCTTATCAATGAAATTTTACATCAACTTGATCAACTTATTCAAAGGAAATCTTTCAGTAGAGTAAGTACAATTTCGTCAATGTTGAGTTAGTTTCATTTTGATTAATGACCTTTATATTTTTTCAGGAATTAATTCCATTTTCTATATAATATTTCTCTCTCTCTCTCTTGACTCCTCAAATAGTTTGGAGCTATTCAATTAGAAAAAGAATATCGTAGTTTATTCGCATATTTGACATCGATTTCGTATAGTTCGCTGCGTGACTATTTCACGCGTAGTTTACAAATTTGTAGACTTTTAAATTTGGATCGAGTGAGTTCAGTGTTACATTTTTTTTTCTGTCAATTTAAAGATTTTTATTTATATATTTGATGAAAAATTCTACCTTGAATAAAAATCATCCACTGAGGGAAATGCGTCATTTCTAAGTGTTAATATTAGTTTCAAGTAGAGAATGAATATTTTCAACGGTTCAAATTTATTACAGTCATAACTGTCATAACTGTTGTTTAATAGACAGACAGACAGATACAACGCAGACCTTCGTACGTACGTACATCAGTTTAGGTTGCCATGCCCCATCAGCACCAGGACGCAACTGTCAGTTCATATCCAAGAGTGATAGCAATAATAGAAGTATTAGAAGTAATGGAGAAAATTAGGTAGCGAAGATATTATTCGAGAAGTATAATTCAGTAAGATAAATTTAGAAGGAGAAAGGTAAAGATTATGAGGTGTGCAGAAGCTTAAAATTTCGTAGAATACAAAGATTGGATGCACCTGCGCTATTGCAAACGATCCTGAGCCATGTCGTTCAAGGTCTCTAACCATTGGTGACTATCGTCTCGTGAACCCCAACCAGATAGCCTAGATCTACCAACACGACTCAGTCCACTTGTCAGTGACTTTATGGATTTCTGCCATGTTTTGGTTTGGCCGCCCCTAACTGTCTTCCAACCTTTTCCTACACCACAAAACATAGCTTGTCGCGGCAGTCGCTGGTTAGGCATACGCAGCTCATGTCCCAACCACCTCAATTGATGAAGTTTCATTACTTCATCTATTGGTCTGCCATTCTTACCTAGTACTCGTTTCCTAACGACAACATTGCTTATACGGTTGTCCCATTGATACAGGAGCAATGCTTTGGAGACATCGATGATCGAAGACTAGTAATGTACGAAAGTCCTCTATTCTTAACGGTCAAGTCACTGTTGTTTAATAGAAGAAAGCTAGGAGCGGACAGATCAAAACATGGCACAAATCCATGCAGTCACTGACAGCTAGACTGAGCAATGTCGGTATGTGTGGACTAATCGGTTGCTGGGGTCGGCGAAATGATAATAACCAATGGTTACAGACCTTGAATGACATGGCTCAAGATTCTTTGCAATGGCACAGATGTATCCAGTCTTTGTTATCTCACATATTCTCTAATCTTCTAAATTCTTCATGCCTTTTTTTAAACTGATTCTTCTGGGCTATACATCTCGAATGATATCCTCGATCACAAATCTTTCTGATTACCCCTAATACTTCTACTACCTTTACTACTATGGGATTTGAATTAACAGTCCGATCTCTTTTCTGCTTATTTGGTATGACCACTTGAACTGGTGTACTAACGTTGCAGCTGATTGACAGTTTCCAGTTAGAGCTTTGGAGATTTGTGTTTTTACACATTTGAAATCATCAATCAATCATTGTTAGACCACCAATAGAAACCTGGAAGCACTGGACGGCCGTTTCGTCCTGGTATGGGACTCATCAGCCGTGCTTCCAGGTTTCTAATGGTGGTCTAACAATGACTGATTGATGATTTCAAATATGTAAAAACACAAATCTACAAAACTCTAACTGAAAATATCGTAACAGCTCTCACTAGTGACTAGCTTCGTGAGGAAATTCTCGGAGTTCTAGTGAGAAGACATGACCAATGGAGTTCAACCCTGTTGGGTGTAGGCAGTAACTACCAAAGACAAATGGGTGAGGTCGCGCAAAATCCCTAGATCAATCAGAGTTAGACATTAACACCATTGGATGCCGGCCCAGTGGTCCGATGGTTAGGCGTTCGCGCACAGTACGAATGTCCCTGGTTCGAATCCTGCGAGGTGCTGGAGTTGTGGATGCAGACTGCTGACGAGTCTCATACCAGGACGAAATGGCCGTCCAGTGCTTCCAGGTTTCTAATGGTGGTCTAACAATGACTGATTGATGATTGACAGTTGTTTAATTTTGTGTTATTGTAAACGAGAAAAATAAAGCAGTCAGTTTTTGTTTCGTTATACTTTTTATTTCCAACGTGTTTATGATTGTTTATAGGTTGATGAAGTGCATTATTATTGGAATAGTTCTAATTGGCGTCTTACTGCACATGAAGTCAGAAGTATCCTATCTCTAAGGTCAGTTTCAACGTTTATTTTAGAAAGCTTAATGATTTTACACTTAACCGAAAATATGGTTTTTATGCATTGAATTACCATTTGCTTCTAAAACTCTGCTTCATTTAACAACAGTACTACTAACTCTGTGGTTCTAACACACGTTGGCGTCATATCAAATGCATGTGTGATAAAATACATGGAACCTATTTGTGTTTACTTGCATACATCGTTTTTCACATATGCTTAGCTGTACATAGTTGATAGCTGCCAATTTAGGTCAGCTTTTGTGATAGTACACTGGTACATTATCTACAAATGTTTTATATAGAGATTATTTTGGGAAATTTAAGGGTCAAACATTTTCAATATACGCTAGTATTAGTGATCTCTTTCATCACATTTTTTCTTTCTTACTTACTTACCCCCAATAGAGAGCACAGGCCGCCCACCAGTTTTCTCCGACCAACTCTTGTCTTGGGCTTTCCTTTCCAGTTCTGTCCAATGTTTGTTCATTCCTCTCATATCTTTATCTATTTCTCGGCGTAATGTGTTCCTTGGCCTTCCTCTTTTCCTTTTACCTTGAGGGTTCCACGTGAGGGCTTGTCTTGTCATGCAGTTAGGTGCTTTTCGAAGTGTGTTTCCTATCCACTTCCATTGCTTCTTCCTGATTTCCTCCTCCACTGGAATCTGGTTTGTTCTCTCCCACAGTACGTTGTTGCTGATGGTGTCTGGCAAACGAATACGAAGTATTTTGCGTAGACAGTTGCTCATAAATATTTGTATCTTCTGGATGATGGCTTTCGTAGTTCTCCATGTTTCCGCTCCATACAGTAGAATTGTCTTGACATTTGTATTGAAAATCCTGATTTTGGTGTTAACTGATATTTGTTTGGAGTTCCAGATATTTTTCAACTGTAGAAATGCAGCCCTTGCTTTGCCAATCCGTGCCCTCACATCTGCATCGGATCCACCTTTCTCGTCGAAGATGCCTAGATATATAAAGGTGTTAACGTCCTCCAAGGCATCTCCATCAAGAGTGATTTGGTTGGTGCACGTTGTGTTGCATCGGAGAATTTTGCTTTTTCCTTTATGTATCTTGAGATCTGCTGCTACACTGGTAGTCTTCTGTTGCATTTGTTGTTGCGTGTGCGATAGAATAGCCAGGTCATCTGCGAGGTTCAGATCGTCCAGCTGCATCCTAGCTGTTCACTGAATACCGTGCTTCCCTCCATTTTTTCAGGTTGATTTTATAGCTCATTTCACTTTCACTATGCTGACATCATATATCTACCTATAAAACTAAGTTACATGTTTTTTCAACTCAAGCTTTAAACATTATGACACTCAGTAAATAATCGAACTAATATTTTTCCGTCAGATACATTTTGTGTCGTGCAAGTTGATGCACAGAAATAGAAATACGTACACACTACACATCACTCCAGTTTGTTACGGGTATAACCAATTTGTTCTCGTGTGCTGTTACGGGTATGAGGGCGGTTGTCACTTCCTGAAAAGGAATGTAGATTAGTGTTGGTCTTAGTAACCTGGGTGTGTGACCGCAGAGCCCAGGGGACAACTGCTTGAGGCCGGTCACGCACGGCCTTTTTATGAAGGCTTTTTTGAGTATTAGCTCCGATCTTGAAAACCCTTAATCAGTCAGTCAGTCAGTTGCAACGTAGAACTTCGTACGTAAGTACATCAGTTCATGTCGCCATACCACATCAGCACAGAGATGTAATTGTCTATTAAAATCCAATAGTAGAAGAGGTAGTAAGAGTATTAGAAGTAATCGGAGAGGTTAGGATGAGAAGATATAATTCAAGAAGTATGATTAAATGAGAAAAGTTTAGAAATTAAAAACTAGAGGTGTTGAAGAACTCAGAAGATTAGGATTTGAGAGAACACAAAGAATAAATGCACTGGCGCCATTGCGAACGATTTTGAGCCATGTCATTCACGGTCTCTAGTCATCGATTATTATCATCTCGCGGACCCCAACCAGGTATTCGAAAGTTACCGACAAGGCTAAGCCCACTCGTCAATGATTTCATGGATTTCTGCCATGTTTTGGTTTGGCCGCCCCTAACTTTCTTCCAACCTATTCCTACACTACAAAACAAGGCTCGACGAGGCAGTCGGTGGTTGGGCATACGCAACACATGTCCCAACCACCTCAACTGGTGAAGTTTCACCACTTCATCTATTGATCTGCCATTTTTACCTTGCACCCGATTCCTAATAACAGCGTTGCTCACTCGGCTGTCCCACGGAAAGCCCTTAATGGGCACCCTTACCACCGGAGAGAGAAATCCGTGAGGCAGGGTGAGGTGTGACATATTCAGGGTCGACCTTCGCTAACCCTTCCTTCCTTGTGAGAAGGCAGCATCGCTGCAGATGCTGGTTGTCCGAGGGAAACACCTTACTGCCGTCACACCCCTCCATCACAGTCAGCAGTACGACTTCGCCGTGTGACCTTAAGTAGCTGCTTTTAGTCTGATCGTTCTCCAATCGACCGACCAGGCATGGTGGCACCTTGAGGAACATATGTTCCAACCAATATAGCTCGGTCGGATCATCACGATAGGCAAGCCCGGTCACCACGTCAAGGTAGCAGCTTCGGTCGGGCTGAAGTGAGGTGGACTGGGTGTAACCCGACCGTAGCTGCTACCTTGACGTGGTGGTCGGGCTTGCCTATCGTGATGACCCAACCGAGCTATACTGGCTGGAACATATGTTCCTCAAGGTTCTACCATGCCAGGCAGGTCCATTGGAGAACGATGAGACTAAAAGCAGCTACCCAAGGTCTGAGGGCGAAGTCGTACTGCTGACTGTGATGGAGGGGTGTGACAGCAGTAAGGTGTTTCCCTCGGACAACCAGCATCTGCATCGATGCTGCCTTCTCACAAGGAAGGAAGGGTTAGAAAAGGTCGGCCCTAAAAATGTCACACCTCCCCTAACTCACGGATTTCCGTCTCCTTGGGTAAGGGTGCCCACTAAGGGCCTTTAAGAACGGAGCTAACACTCAAAAAACATTTGATAAAAAGGCCATGCGTGACCGGCCCCAAGCAGTTGTCCCTTGAACTCTGCAGTCACGCTCCCAGGTCTCCAAGACCAAAGCTAATCTACCTTCCTTTTCAGGTTCCTCAAGAAACAACCTTCCACGGTGTGGGCAGCCGGGAAGTGACAACCGCCCTCATACCTATAACAGCACGCAAGACCGAATTGGTCAAAATCAAATCCTTCCTACACCCCCTAGTACCTCTCTTATCTCCACGACTAACTCTTCTCACATTCATTCATCACAGTGCACAGCTAATGCAGACGATACGAGTTCGCGAAACGTCGTTCCTGGTCTCCTTAAACCTCGCTCTAGACTACATGTTGGAGCATTTAATGTACGGACATTGTGTCAAATAGGGCAACAGGCTTCCTTAGCTAGGACTTTAGAATCTCGTGCCATCGATGTATGCTGCGTCTCGGAAACGCGCATACAGGATCCGAGTCACGTCATACACTTGACCACACCATGTCAAAATAAAGAAGCAGCTCGATTTACTCTTCGTGTATCCGGTAGCCCTGATGCTGCTTCCCGGGGTCTTGCTGGCGTAGGCATAGCATTGAGTCGTAGGGCAGAACAATCTCTCCTTGACTGGATCCCAATAGATAGTCGATTGTGCGCTGTCCGACTAAACGGGACAGTAAGGACTCGGAAAGATAGGGACACTCGCCGTTGCCTCTTCGTCGTATCTGCCTATGCCCCCACTGAATGCAGTTCAGACGAGGTTAAGGATGAGTTTTACAGAAAGCTTTCGGACCTCCTCCAAAAAGCTAGGCGCTCTGATATAGTAATAATGGCTGGTGACTTTAATGCTCAAGTAGGTAGACTAAGTGAGCAGGAGATACACCTAGGTGGATGTTATGGTGTCGCGGCTCAGAGAACAGACAATGGTGACCGTCTGTTGCAACTGTGCTCAGATAACCAACTATTTCTAGCAAACACTAACTTTAGGCATAAGGAAAAGCATCTGTTGACCTGGCGACCTCCAAAGTCGTCTCAACGTTGGACTCAACTAGATCACATTGCCATCAGCCACCGATGGAGGGGTTCGATAGAGGACTGTCGCTCGTTCTGGAGCACATGTCTAGATTCAGATCATGCCCTAGTGCGAGCGCGTATTTGTTTGAAGCTTACTGGGAGTAGGAAAGACACCGTAAGAAAGCCTCTTAGGGTTTTACTTAATGATAATAAGGCGAAAAATATATTTCAGGAACAACTAGAAAGGCAGTTAGGTGACCATTTAAGCGATTCCCATCCGGAAGCAGGATGGAATGATATCAAAAAGGCTGTGGAAACAGCAGTGATATCTGCTAGTAAGGTTGACCATAAGGCTAGAATGAAACCGTGGATCTCAGTAGCATCCACCGAACTGATGGATGCTCGAAAACGCATCCCACCTGACTCTGAGCATGATGAATAACGAAGTCAGCTCAAGCGCAGGCTGATAAAAAGCCTGCGCAAAGACCGTGAACAGTGGTGGGCGGCGAAAGCGAAAGCTATGGAAAAGGCATCGGCGATAGGCAACAGTAGACAACTTTTCCGACTTATCAAGCAAACTGATATTAGGAATCCTACTGTAAGTGAGACTATCTCGGAAAATGATGGTCTTATTATCCATTCTCAATCCAGGAGACTGGATCGATGGGCGGAACACTTTAGGGATCAGTTCAACTGGCCACGAGCCACTCTTCGGTTACCCACGATCTCCAGTCATCCTGAATGGCAAATCGACCTAAGTCCCCCTAGTCTTAATGACGTTGAGAAAGCGTTAGGAAATCTGAAACGAGGACGAGCTGCAGGTCCTGATAGACTGACCCCTGAGATATTTAAGGATGGTGGTCCAGTTTTAGCAGCTAGGTTGACTGAGATCTTAGGTAGAATCTGGGAACTGGACGTAATCCCATCCGACTGGTCTGAATCACTGATTCTCCCAATCTATAAGAAAGGACAGAAGTCTTCTTGTGACAATCACAGAGGAATAAGTCTAACTAATATAGTATCTAAAATATTGGCCTCAGTAATACTTCGACGCTTAACGAAAGCTCGTGAAGAGCAGACTCGAGAAAACCAGGCTGGTTTTCGACCTGGACGTGGCTGTATAGACCACATTTTCACACTTCGACAGGTCTTGGAACACAGACACACATTTAGGCGTCCTACAATAGTTGTTTTCCTAGACCTTAAGGCGGCATTTGACTCAGTGGATCGTGAGGTTCTTTGGAAGTGTCTGTCATTGAAAGGTGTACCAAATAAGTACATTAACCTCATACAAGCTCTCTACTCAAACACCACTGGTCGAGTGAGAGCTTATGGCGAACTGTCACCGGAATTCTCTACATCAAGTGGTGTCCGTCAGGGCTGTCCACTCTCTCCATTCTTGTTTAATTTTATCATAGACATGCTCTTAGAAATAACCTTATCCTCGTCTGAATTTTCAGGAGTAGACCTTTTACCAGGTGGCTCGCTTATTGACTTAGAATATGCCGATGACATTGTCCTACTTGGTGAAGACGCTGACAAAATGCAGAGTCTTCTGACCATCCTGAGCAACAATGCAAGCGTGGCCAGTGAGAGTAGAAGATATTCGTCGGTTATTGGTTTTCGATCATAGGTGTCTTCGAAGCATTGCTCATTTATCGTGGGACAACCGAGTGAGCAACGCTGTTATTAGGAAACGGGTACTAGGTAAGGATGGCAGATCAATCGATGAAGTATTGAAACTTCATCAGTTGAGGTGGTTGGGACATGTGTTGCGTATGCCGAACCACCGACCGCCTCGAAGAGCTTTATTTTGTGGTGTAGGAGTAGGTTGGAAGAAATGTAGGGGCGGCCAAACCGAAACATGGCAGAAATCCATGAAGTCATTGACTAGTGGACTGAGCCATGTCGGTAATTGTCGATTACCTGGTTGGGGTCCGCGAGATGATAATAATCGATGACTAGAGACCGTGAATGACATGGCTCAAAATCGTTCGCAATGGCGCCAGTGCATTTATTCTTTGTGTTCTCTCAAATCCTAATCTTCTGAGTTCTTCAACACCTCTAGTTTTTAATTTCTAAACTTATTTCACTGAATCATACTTCGTGAATAATATCTTCTAATCCTAACCTCTCCGATTACTTCTAATACCTTTACTACCTCTTCTACTATTGGATTTGAATTGACAATTATATCTCTGTGTTGATGTGGTATGGCGACATGAACTGATGTACTTACGTACGTAGTTCTACGTTGCAACTGACTGACTGACTGACTGACTGGACTGGGTGTAACAGAGGGCACATCTATTCTGGTTAGTTGACAGTTGCACTACATGAACTTCAGATTAACTTGATCCGTCACTCTGAACCATAGCCGTGTCACGATGTAGCTTCGTATCTATTAACATCTTCATTAGTTCAGCTGCTGCTCGAGTAATATTTCAAGTCTCGAAGGATCCATGTTATCCCATCCCCGTCGCCAAATATTATGCTCGTCAATTGATATCCTTGAACTATTACGAGTTTACCTTAGTCGGTAAATGAGAGTGAAGACAATGATTCAGTGACACAATAAGCTACTCTATTCCAAGCGCCTCGAGCCCCCTTTAACGCTTTTCAAAAAGTCTTGATATGGCGTAGAAAGTGTATTCTACAAGCATCCAGGAGATATGAGGTTTTGTACAGAAGAAGAGGAGGGAGCATAAAACTTTACAGACAATGCATGTTTATACAGTTAGGTCGACTGTAAATACTTGTCAGTAGGAAAGAACATTTAAAAGTATGTGAACTTGATAGTTTAAAGCGACGACATTAAATATTGACCAATAGAATTAGACCAATAATTTTTTTAGGATATTTCATGATATCCTAACACACTAATCACTTATTTCATGGAGTTTTCGTTTAGTCAAACGATGACTGATCATTCAATACGTTTGATTTTTGTTTTCAACTCGCAAATACTAATTTTCATGTTAATAATCGATTTTAAATAAGTTTCCAATAAATTCGTCAAACAGCTCTGTTGGGCTGATCAGTTGACCTTGAGATTTCATTTCCCACCAGGAAATTCCATGGCTGTGATTGGCTGCTGTGTATTTTAGTGTGCTATTTCCTTAACTGTCCCAAGGACGTTTCTATGATGTATAAATAAACGAGAGTTTTGTGCTTGATTGCATTGTGATTGCTTGGGGTTCGCAGAATATACTTTCTACGCTTACAAAGACTTCTGTTACAGCTTAGGATTCAAGGTAGCCTACCTAGTTCGCGTTTATCGACTAAAGTGAACTCGTAATCGCTTCAAGCATACCTAGTGACGAACATAACAAACACTACCTAGTTTGTCGTAACTAACATTGAAAATTTACAAAATCATTTGTAATGTAGTCTGTTCGTTATTAGTTCAAGGTGTCGTTCAAGATTGGTGTTTTTCACTTAAAAAAAAAATAATGTATGACTGCTTGTCTGTCCAGTTGTTTATGTTGCTTCATTTATCCAGCTGATTCCCGCTTGGTCGAACGATTATTGAGTATATGCTCTAAAATAAAATATTCCTTTTCATTTCTGTATACCCATACTAAGGGGAAGCCCCATTTATGTGATGGCGACTATCAGAAACTAAATATGCTTTTATGGTTGAGTTGACGACAGACGAGAATGAAAATCGCACAAGCAAAGTAAAGCGAAGTGAAGTGATGAAAGCCACCGAGTCAACTCAATACAATTGTCGGACAAAATAATCTAGACACGTATTAAACGAAGTAAATAAGCATGCTCTCACATACCCCAAAAAATAGAAACAATCAAGATTATAATCAAATGGTGTGATGATAATAAGATCGAAGGACATGTGCGAATAGTGAATTGGCTAGAAACGGTTAATTAGTTTTATCCAAAGGTTTAGGGACAACAAGCTCTGTGGGGGATCAACATATTACACCCCACACACACACACACATACACACACACAGTAACTAAAAATGCTTTAAATAAATTTTTCTTATTAAGCCCACAATTATATGTATAATCTTTATTTGTTTTACAGACGTGATTTTGCTGTGAATGAAATTCGTGCACTTAAACTACAATGATTTTATTTTTGATTTTGTCCAGTCGCCCTTTTCTTTTCTTTTTTCTTTTTTGAAAATGATTTGTATTGATCAATCGATATTTTTTGTACAAATATTCAAGTATTTTTATTTTATGAACTCAATGTGTAATGTATTGGCTTTATTATTATTCTTTTTTCTATCGTATACCAG